CGTCGAGTTGTTATAAGACGCGCCTCCATTATCCCGTTGCTTCTCGTTGCTCGCGAAAGTATCGAGAGATCTCGAGTTTTTCCTACAGTTCCGTCTCTCCCCTTTCGCACTACCATTCTCACGTTCGCAAGAATCGCTGCTGTGCAATCAGGTCTCTCTCGCGAGTTTGTTTCATAATATTGTTAACTCTTGTTTGTATACTCCCCATTTGTTATACTACGAAGATGTTTTCAAATTAAAGAAACTTGTCTGTGTCTCTTCTCGTACGGACTTTCGTGATTATTTGAACTTTTAACTCTCTCGCTCGTCCAGCTTCACTCAGTTTCAGTTGTCAGCCGCTCTCGGACTGTGTCGGCGCCTGTGCGGTGTCACACTCCACGATATTTCCGGTCCGCGAAGTGCGTCGCGTTCTCGCCACGGCGAGAATTGCGCATAAATGAGAAACGCGCATCGGAAGGCCGATGCGCTCGTACTGATCTCCCTTTGCCTCGTTTCTCCTTGACGCTTGACGCGAATGAACACATCGCGCAGTCCGACCATGCCTCAAAAGGTCTGAGTGAACGTTCCTTCCGAACAGTGCGAACAATTGTAACGATTACTATGATTAATATCAATATTATTACATTTATTGTAACTACCATTATTATTATTATTATCGCTGATTATTATGTCATTGTTATACTGTTACCGTCATACAAACACACGCACAGACACACACATACACACGCGTTATACATGCATGAACGTACGCATACGTATGCACACACGATGCACGGCACGTCGCATACACGGGAAAAGAATTTCTGTTGGGCTAACTGAATATTTCTGTTATACCGAAAACATTCGTCTGAACGTTCAGACTCGGTTGAGATGCAAGTGAGAGCAATTGGCCGAGCAGAGACTTCCCACAGGAATCTTTTTGCTCGTACGTTTTTTTCGTCTGATTCACAGACGAAGTTCAGTTACACCAGCAGTCATTTTTCCCGCGTGCACGTACACCCGCATAGTCCACACGCGCATGCATCTCCGCGTGCGATACGAGGCAAACGGCGAGCGATGAGGCTAATCCCGCCCAAGCATTTGTATTTTTATCCCAAGTGAGAGCGTCTAACGCTATAACAGAGGCGGCGAAAGTGCCGTTTCGCCCGATTTTGCACGACGATTGTGTAATGAAAAATACGCTATTTTCCGTTGACCCTTTCTTACTACGGGAGAAACCGCAGCATATCCGTGCACGGCACGCGATATCTGTAACGTGTATAATCTTACTTATAGAGGAAATAAGGGAGAAGACAAAATGTAGGATGGAAATAGCGAGTTTTTATAATAGAGCATGTACGCTCGCACGCAAGTGCAGAGAGGGATACGTTTTCGTAATAGTATTTTGCCCACTCTTTGCGCGAATTACGCCGAGTCTCGTGGAACGCGTCCGGCCGAGAATCCATCCTCTCGAGAACACGTCGCGCCCGCGAAAACTTGCCTCTCACTTTAGTCCCTAAGAAGTTAATCGTGTGGTTTTTAACTCGTTCTAGCTAAACATTCACTTTTGCATCTCTCTCCGATCGAGCGCGCACACACAAACTAGGTGTAATTTTTCAAATAGTCACGCACGCACGTGGATGAAATTGTGTCGCGAGACGACTTGTGCTCGGCCAACTATTGTCAATGAGTTTGCTAGGAAAGACGAGTTTGTGCGTACTCACGAATTTCAATCTGAACACGCTCGATATCTGAGAATACGGAAAGTCGAAACCGAGAAATTGATTAGAATTCATTAGTGACATTCTGTATAATCTATTTTAAACCTTTTTCAGTTGATGAACACTTACATATTTTATTTGTACATTTCGCATTTGTGTTGAAATCAATTTGTGTAGAGATGTTGTGTTACATTTGTAACGTATATCCGTGTGTTAATGTAACACACTGTCGTTGTGTCCTTTTGACAGTTGCGTTGAGTTTGCATTCATCGTTTCTACGTGTTAGAACAATACAACTTGTTCGTAACATGTATAGGAAGTGTTATACTAGCATACTGGTTAACATGACAGGTTGCCTGTGCGTTTTGTTGACAGGCGCATGTAGTCGTGGGCGATCTCAGTAGACCTCGGCAAAATGCTCACTCAGAACGTAAATTTCATAGAAAAAAAAAAGCGCGCAAGTGAACATTCCGCCAAGACCTACTGAGATCGCACACAACTAGGCGCGCCTGCCAGCGAAACGGACGGGCAACCCGTTTTACTGATCTGTATATATAAGTGCAACACTCTATACACTCTTGATGATATATTTTATATCCAAGTGCGCGTTGTATTGTTCGTTAACATATTTGCCTTGCGCTAAATTAACGCAAAAACTCGAGTGAATAAATTGGGACATTTAACGTGTCAAATTTAACACACGATTATTTGCAATGTACTGTTTTTTTCACAAGAGAAGAATTCGATACTATTTGCGACGCACTTAGCGCATTTTGTTCTTTGTCATGAATTTGAAGTTGGATTTGGGATAAAACGAAGAACGTTGGCCGAGTACTTGAAGTGCACTCGAACGGCATCCGGAGATTGATTCCGCCCTGACTGGGCGCGCAAGGCCCAAAGACAAGTACTCGGACTCTCGGTCGTGCTCTGCTGACCACAGCTGCGTTTCAGAGAGACATTAACGGCGATGCGATCAAGTACCGAACAAACACGTGACCTTATACCTGCAATATACCGGCGAATTAAGAATAATCGACGAGAATCGCTTTGTGAGCGTTGAATTTCATTCCGTTCCTGTTTTATGTCTCTTTGCTCGTTCCAATCTTCGAAGATAGAAATTGAAAATTCGCGAATTAACTCTAGCACTCAGATTTATAAAAAAGCAAACTTACTTTTTGTCTTAATGCAAGATAAAGATAGGAGAAAGCGTGAAAGTTTCAAAGATCGATATTCGACTTTGCAAGGATAAAACATCCGACCAAATCGATTCCTTTTGATATATTTTTTATTCGTCCAGTTTTTGCAGGAAATTCGGCTCGATGAGCGAACAGGACGTCGCGTCTTTCGGCAGCTACGACAAGAAAGAAAGAACGAACGAACGAATGAAATGAAAGATTATTAACTTTCCTTCCCTCCCTCTTTTTCTCTTTCCTTCCCTTCTCCCTCTCCCCCCCCCCTCTCTCTCTCTCTCCCTCCTCTCATCGGTACATCTAATATAACGCTAAACTTCATTATTACATTATTGAATCTACGAATAAGTGATTGATTACAATTTTGTCCTAATGTTCAGAGAAATAAAACAAAAAAAATACACATACATACGCAGCTGCCCACAATCGAATCACACACTTTCCGCGCGCCACGTCGTTCCTCGATCGACGAGATTCGCAATTATTTTTTTACGTTATACTTTCTTTTCTCTTCCATTTTCGCCCGCTTCTCTCGAGAGACTCTTCTGCCATACAGTATACCTGCGTAACGACACAGTTTGCTAGTTATATTGTTGTTAATAAGCTGCAGAATATACCTACTGGTCTGAACGACACCGGTTTCAATTCCTACTCAAAGTCCGCATGTGCTCTCGTTTTCCCGACTTAAAACAGTGACATTGATCACACGATGGGTCCAGATTTGCGTCATCGAGATTTTAGCGAGATGTCGTGTTCCTAGCGGTGCGTATTACGCGGTCGAGTTGATAGATTTTTCGTAAATCGAAGTTTTGGAACCTCTCGTGTACTCGGGATCCTTGTGAGTCGTTAGGTTTAGCAAATAATGTTTGTCTATGATGATTCGCGTCTCGATAAATAAAGGAAAATCCGTGGCTCACCGATCTTTTCTTTTTTACGAGCACGAAGAGCTTGGAGTGATTATAATCAGCAAGAAGAAATGCTTCCTGAATTGATTATAAATAATTCTTAAGCTAATTAAAAAGCATTTCAACGGCAAAATTTCAGTAAATGAGTTACGTGGTTCTCATTATCGTCCAAACAGCAATCTCTCTATTAGATTTAATTATTCAACAGTGAAACAACACTCGCAGAAACTAAATTAAAATTATAACGAAAACTTATAAGTTTTAAACTTACTGACTTACTTATAAGAACTTACTGTCGCGCGTGTTCTTTCTCTTCCTTTTTCTTGCAGAGTATATTCTTCGTAAACAGCATATTAAGAATAATGCTTAAGAAAAAGAGTTTTAGGATATATTTTAAGATTACTCTAAAAAAAAAACTGTGCTAATATTCCTCTTATTTTTCTTTAATGCTTTAATGCTTAATAACTTGTACATCGTACGCGGGTCTGGTTTCGGAAATATAATTATCAATCGAGATGATTTTTTAATGGCGCTTTCAAAGTTTCTCAAAGTGCACATTAACATTACATTATGTAACAGTAGGTTACAAGACTAAAAATATGATTGAGGATAATAGCAGGGAATAAAATGTCGAAAAATACCAAACACTGTGAAAAGGAAATCTTGCGTATATGCGCATACCATTTAATTTGATCTAATTTGACCTCCGAAACCAGAGGTATCTCTAAATAGCTCGTTAAACAATTAATCCCGTAACTAGAGATTTTCGGATAAACTTCCATTCCTATTGATCTTCCACTCTTTCAAATCTCGAGCCCAGAAATGTGTAAGATTCCACCTTAAAACGAAGTATTTTATGCTGTACACAATAATATACTGTTATTATTAATTTTATTACGAATTTTATTGCATAGCAATGCGATGAATTTTAATTTATATGATATTATTATTAAATTAATTTTCGTTGTGTGTTGAGAAACTGTAGTTTCATTTTATCTTCCCGATCGTTGCTTTCATTCCTTCCTCTCTCAGCCCATTCACGCGTCTCTCTTCAGAAGGCTGTGCTGAGCTTCTTTCGAAAGATCCGGTCAACAAAACCCTTCAATAATTAAACGGAACTTAAGCAGAACAAACGAAAAGGATCGGACAGAATCCAGGAGATGCTGACTCAAGGTTGGCTCGATAACGATTGCTGCATATTCACGCTATGCGTTCTCACACTTTTATTACAAACCCTTCGCGTAATATACAATTGTAAAGACATGTCGTTTAACTCTTAGCATATAAGTTGCTCTCGTTTAACGATCGCTCTACCGTATCACTATCGTATTAAAATTGCACAAGCGACGCAACGCGAGATACGGTGTAACACCCGTATCGACTGTCATCAACCTATATATAGAGAACCCTCGACTTTCTTCGCGCAATTCTGGCTACATACCTCACAAGCGAATACAATTATTATTCTTATTATTGCTTTTCTTGCTTTTTTCTTTTTCAATATAAACACCCGTAAGGCACGTGTTACAATTTGCCTTACGACAGAAATCTATCTCAACATTCTAACGGGTCGCATATTGTGTCTCTTTTTCTAACAGAATCTCAAGCGCAATGTTACTGATCTCGCAGAAATTCCCTCATTCTTCAAATATCTCGACGGCACGTCTATAACGTTAAACGGAGAGTGTAACAACCGTGAATAATACTGCGAAACGAACGCAAGGATTCACAGGGATCATTGTGTGCCAACACCTACGATAATAACGGAAGAAGAATACGACGTTCCCTGTTGACCCTAAGAAGCAGCTCGTACAATCTGGCCGTCTTCTCACCCTTTCTCTCGAGCACGGGAGACAAAATTCTGCAAGATTTTACGGAATATCGTTTCACCTCCGATACAAAAGAAACGCTGTCGTGTGTCACGTTGTAACAAAATAAATAATTACATTCTACATGAATGATACTATGTAAAGTCTCTCGAAATCTTAACCCTTACAGTCTGGGTGGTTTTTTGGGTAACTTTTATAGTCCTTGAACTAAAACCTTTTCGCATATATTAAAGAATAGATTGATAAGAAATATGAAACCACAGTCCCCGTCACTATAGTGGCTGCCCAGATTGTACGATAATTTTTCTTTTAAATAAATTTTTTTTCTTATTCAATTATACAGGGATCTTTTTTGTACTAAAAGTCACGAAAGAACATAAATTTATTTTTTTTTACAAAGAAAATTATGCAAGAATATATAATAGTAAAAAATCAAAATATAAAGCAAAATGTCTATTATTATTTGCATAACTTTCAAACCCTGTTAGTAAAACATTGAAAAATTGTATTACAAATATATCTGTGTATTTATTTATTTTTATTTTCTAGAATCTCTTATTTAAAAAATTAAATTTGTTTTTATTAATTTGTATGGAAAAAGTGGATGATAATAATAATAACAATAGTAGTAATATTTCACGGAACTGCTGCCCCGCTGCTATAGTGGTCTCTCAGATTGTAAGAGTTAACAATTCCCCAATTGCACATAAATCGATATTTTTGTTTGTCGCACCACTTCCATCAGAGATCGTCGACAGTACAGTCTTTTGCCGTTCTTCGTATATAAATATATCATATTAAATAATGCACGATAAAATGTATATGTAGCGGAGACGAAACACCCCTTATTGCAAACCTTCGACTAGCATACTAATTCTTCTGTCTTCTCTTCTATTTTGTACGTGATGCACGATAAAGCGCAGCACGAATCGGATAAAAATTCGTCAAGGAGCTAATGTATCGCAACAATCATACGGATTATATTAAACACAAAGTATATATATACAAAGAGAAACTCTTTTTCTTCGGCACACCAAACAATATACGAAACTATTAGGAATTCCGCACACTTAGGGATTGCGCACATAAAATGGCAAGAAAAATACAAACGAAATTCGATATTCAAGGAACGAGTAGCTTGGCAAAGACAATTTTTGATTCGAATGTCATTATAATATATCTAAATCCTCAAATTCCGAATCTCAAGTTCGATTTGTCACACGTATGATTTATCGATACCAAGCAAAATGTTCTACGTCGTCCACGCACGAGACGGCGGCTTGATCGTTAACCAATTATCGTGATACACGTGAGTTATACTTTTATCATTGTCACCAGTTGCAGTATCGTCGAAAACGATTTAGCCACCTCGTAATTCGCTGCTCTCGTCGCCGCTCCGTCTCCTGTTGCGACCTCGACCTACAAAATAACCGACATAACTTTGCATAATTTTGTTGTGTAAACAAGCGTACCGGCCATTTCTTTAGACCGTAAAAATACTTTAGTGTAACCATTCTGTTATCCTGTCGATGTAATGTAAGATTAAACGCGACGTTGTGTGCGACTGACGACATTTTAATTTCGACAAAGAGAGAAGATTAATGTAACCAATAACTAAACGCTAGACTAATTAACCATCCGGTGTAGCACACGACTTGATCCAGAAAATCATTTATTCGTTTTGTCATTGACTTTAATCCATTCTTTCTTTACGATTCGAGGCGAATCTTGGAAGATTAATGTTAATTTTATGTGCGAGATATGTCGCGTATATATCTCGTGTGTGTAGGATAACGTACATATACATACATACATTCTATACAAATAAGATAGAAGTAAAATAAATGGCATCATTCTCATCGAAATCATAATAAATACCTCCCCTGCTGCATACAGTAATAAAATACAATAGAACACAAACGGATACTTACATATCTTCTTCTCTAATTATTAAAGATAAATGAATTCTAATGTTTTCCTCCGAAAAATTGTACGATTCCGCGCAATATATATACATATCACATGTATAGCGTGCATATTTATATTTAAAAATAGTTTGACAATCGTCGAACTCATATCGTCGAAGCATTATCTTTCTTTAATGAATATAATTTTTACAAGAATTCAAAAACAATGAGTGTGTGTCTAATATTGCATATATATTATATGTATAATTGGCGAGATATATGAATATCTCGCCAATTTTTAATTGAAGCTTTTATTTTATACAATTTTGAAGTGCATGCGGCAGTGTGAGTTTATATTACACAATTATCCAGCGTAAATTAATTTTGGTAGTTATTATTTTTATATATACATGGTGCTAGCGCGTCAGATCTATAAAAAAAAAAAAAATTACAATATATTAATTTCTTACATCTGATTGTATTGATAATGGCAGTACACTTACCAGACACGCGTTTCAAAAATGCCAAACCCACAACACATCTATCTTTCAGAATGACGGCTCTGACACATTTAATGTTTTGTATATAAACTGCACAACATTTCTGAGAGATATTTCAGCAAAATAGAACGAAATTTCTAAGTAAATGGACACTCTTCTCTCAAAGTTTTCGTTATCGGAGGAATCTACTTAATGAACGAGCAAGTGCAAAATATATTGGCTAATGGTAACACGTGTGCGTTAAAAAACTAATAAAATAATTTATAATTTTAAAGGAAACATTGAGGAACATAAAAACACCGAAGGCTTCAGTCAAATCCTTTTACACTGAAAAAAGCAAAAACTCTATCGATTCACCGAATATATATTGTATATTAAAACTACGGAACACTTGAGCATGTACACAGCCAGTGCGAGAAAACTGATGCGAAGCTTTACAGCATCCAAAGCAAATCATCACGTACTTTAATACCTGCGCACGACAATGGAAGACTTCCCGAAATCTTCGGATTATTATTCCTACTTATGTATCGCTCTGTTCGTATTAGTATAGCGAACTACCGCGAAGAGATCCTGAGAATACTAATATAAATGTTCACTACCTCTGCGTATCTGATTGAGGCATGCCAGCATTCTGATCATAAAAACCGCAGGTACAGTAATAGTGTCTTTAGTCTCTTCCAGCATGACCGCGTTTCTCTTTTTCAGCTGAAAAACAACGAACAACAGATATAGGATAAGACAATGTCATCGTCATTTCTCGTGCTATTCGCCAAAGGAACGATTGCTTACGTCTTCCGCGAACTTCTCGTCGAAGTCCGTCTTTTTGTTTACCGGCGCCCACAATTTCACATCGTAGTCGATGCCGGAAGTGGCCAGAATTGGCAGGTACGGATGCGGTTGCAGACAATTGACAACGTGATGATCCGCTTCCAGCAACATACACAGCTTGGCGGTGTCCCTCTCCCATACAAACACGTGACCGCAGTCACTACCTGACATGACGAAATCGTCGCCCCAGAAATTCGCTTCCTTGATCATGGTCCTAAAGAAACTAGAGTCAAACGGAGGAAGGGCGAACGATCAGATAATATGGCGGCGGCCTAACGATATACGGCCCAGTCCGCTCGGAGGCTTTTTCGGAACTACACAGGTCAATGACTTGGTTTCCGATCTATCAGACGTTCAAAACGTAGACACTTAGATTAGACTGAGGAAACTTGGTCGAGAAGTTATCGTTCCTTCAACATACGGACCACCAACCAAACTCGCCAAATAGATTTGGTAATACGTTGACTATAAACTATGTAATCCGACTCAACGTCACAAAGCTATCGATTCGTCCCTCAACAGCTTCTTCAACTTAATCACCTTCTAATCATGTTAATCTATCTAATAACTACTGATGATGTATGTTTCGTCTTGAAATAATTTTTACACATGTCACCTGACGAATTTCAAAGCGTACACTTCGCGTATCGCTTTTTTTTTCGCGCTCTCTCATTAATGGTTAAGCTCGGCGAAGATGTGTTATGTGAATGATACTAAAGACAAATCATACCTCGCGTTCCTATGTCCCATGTATTTTCGTTTTACGCAGAGTTCAGTCAGATAGGTTTCGTCAAACGTTTCGTGTCCTTGAGACGAACGAGCATTAGCAATTGCTTCGTCCATCTCAGCTTCGACTGGATTTAATAATCTGCAAATATCGATACCATTGTTAAAATCCGAAGGAATTACAATTCAGAAAAAAGAAAGCAATTACTGTTGTAGTATTTTTTTCAACTGACCTTTCACCTGGCTGAATATCCTCGTCTTCGCTGTCAATGACCTCTTCAGTTTCTGTGAAAATATAAACACGCTATATTAAAATCCACAAAGCATTCGATGGATAGATAAAGAGAATGCTGATACTTACTCTCTCTGATATCGGTGTAACGATGTTTGTGATTATTGCTCGGTCCAGCACTCAAAGTTCTATCACTGCAACTTCCAGATGGTCCTACAAAATAAACCGTTGTACAAAATGAACGCGAAATGTAAGATAACAATAGAAAGCAACATGTACAATTCGACAAAACAAGATGTAATACATACATCTCAAAATAAATACTCACCTGGATGGTAACTGTCACGAGTTACTTCATCACCGACGCCGAGTGATATGGTAGCGCTGGTTGAGCTTTTGTCAGAATATGTTAAACTCACGGCAGGTTCACTGCCATGTCTATACATATTAAATTACATATTAATCAAATATCATCATACGCGATAGATTGTCGTTATAATAGTTAAAAATATACATATTTATTTCGATATGGAAGTTTCGATATGAACGGTTTTAATATGTCAAGCATTATATATCGAAAGCGTGGAGTATTAAGAAATAGAATTGCAGAATCTTACCTCTCGAGAAAACCATCTCGCATCGTTGTTAATCTATCCTGTAGATTTTCCATCATACTTTCCTGCTTACTACCTATGTTCGCACGCGAAGCTTCGTTCGCATTTCCACCCTCGTCCCATATATCGCCATGCTTACTTCTATGATGGCTACTTGTGGAGGAGGCGGAAGCGGCTTGCGCGTCGCTTTGACTAGATTCAATTTCCATAGGAACGTCATCCGACGAGGACGTGGTTAAATTATCGTGGTTTACACTCGTGGACGTAATGTGCGAAGCTAACTGGTTATATTCCTGCTCTTCGACTTCTCTTGTTTCAAGTCTTCCATCGTTCGTCGTTTCGCTAGTCTCGGCTGTATTACTTCCAGTCCTATCGGTATACAAGCTTGTACTTCCTAAGAGAAAAGAACACATTAATAAACCTGTTGTAATGCGTAACGTAAATGAATATTTAATTTTACTACCACTCGTTCCTGCATCATTGTTGTCATGTTCTGTACTCAATTCAGCCGATTCGTTACTTCTTTCCGCGCTCGACTCTCCATTATTCTCAGTGTTTTGAATACCCTCCTGTTGCTCGATAACACCTTCCAAGCTGTCCTCACCGCCGCCACTGAGAGCAGCGCGAGTAGCTGGGTCATTTAACATTCTGCTGAGCACGTCCGTCATCCTTTGCATTAAAGAAGTATGAAGCACTGGTCTTGCTTGAGCGATCTCTGATGAACGATAGTTTAAAATTAGCCACGTAAAATATGTGACAGATGAGTGATATCGATTTACCTGTACCACTGCGGCGTCCTCCTTCTCTTTCCGGACGCGCGTCAGGACCAGTATCGGACCAATCACCACGAAGTCTTAAGCGACGAACTGGTTGAGGTGACCTTAAAGGATGCTTCTTTCCTTTCCCCTTCCCCATCGTTGCATCTTTTCGCAGCTGTAAACTGCCTTGGTCCTAATTAATTTCATGATTAAATAACAACATATTTCTATCAGGAATAAAATAAAAATTATAACTGAGACAACGTAGGAAATATAAGTAAAAACTATAAGTGTCGTGTATCAATTCATTACCTTGATACTGAACAAGTAAAGATGATCACTACTATAACTAACGAGAACATCTTGTCCGTCCGGACTGTAACTCAATGACGTGATCCTATAGGAATTGCCTTCAAATTCCGGCACAGTAAAACTGCACAGTGGTCTCACTGAGCTTCCTGCGTCTATCCAACCTAGAGAATGTACAATGTAAAGATATATAACTGGCCGCATATGTGACGTGTCATCACATCGTTGTGCATATTACCAGTAGCTGGCGTGCCGAGAGTTCTTCTATCAAATGTTCTTACGGTGCTGTCGGAACATCCAATCGCTATTTGATGAGGCAACACAGGATTCACGGATAAAGCAGTTACGGCTCTTTGACAGGAAATTAACACATCCTGAAGAAACAGTCCCAAACATATTGTTCGAGTATAGCTCGCGTGTAACATAAATTGCGAATCATGTTAATTACCTCTCTACATCTTGTCGCGCTACATTTATCCTTCATCCTGAGATCAAACCATCTTACAGTTCCGTCCTCTCCGCAGCTCAGGAAATTATGTGGCTCACCGGGTATCGTCGCTATTTCATACGTAGTGCCAGTGTGACAAGTGAATTGATTATGGAACGTCTCTGTTCGTCTCATGAGATCTGCAAATGCGATATTGGCACTCAGCACCAAGGACATCTGATAATGCGAAAATATTTGGCCTGATTAATTCGCTCTCTATGTACTAACATCTGTTGATCAATTACCTGTATACAAAATAATGCCATCTCCGCTGCAAGATACGATACGGTGATCACCGCTATTAGGCAAAAACTTGGCGCTAAAAATATTTGCTCTGTGACTGGTTTTATAGTCCGTTAGTACCTTAAAGAGAAAAATTACTAGTTTTATAGTCCACTAGTACCTTAAAGAGAACATATAAGAACCGAACAAAGATATTTATACTTCTCTTTCTACTTATTTTAGACTAGAGATACATAATGCGGTTGAAATAATTTTCGTATGTTTTAGGAAAATAAAATGTTTTTGTTAATGTTTGTATAAACTGTTTAAGTTCATAAGAAAGAAAACAAAAGCCACCCATAATGTGTAAGATTTTCTTGAAATATATTCAAAAAAGATATATAGAAGTGTGCCATACTGTATATAATAGTATATTACTATTGTTAATTAGTAAGGTGAATATAAAATTGATGGTTCTAGATAAATTTAGTCATGTATAGCTGAAGGATTTACTGGTTTGGCACAGCATCTGCATTTCTAACTATGTCAATGTTGGACCTTGACTAGAATTAACTATCCAAGACATTTCCTTGAAAAGGTTTAATGCCAATGAAACTTGTACAACTTCCTCTTTATGTTCTATAGCTTAATGACACTATATAATTAATATTTACTTACTCATCGCTGTTAAAATTGCAAAAAATATTTTTCATAAATTATGTAGCATATATCAATCATATCATTAACCTATATTGATATTAAATTCATAATTTTCATGTTTTTTGCATTTCTATTTAATAAAATCTAAAATAACAATTTTAAAATTATAATATTAAATTTAATATTATCAATAAATGCTTTTGTTTAGTTTTAGCCTCTTAATCATAATTAAAGTCAGATGTGAAACATCTAAATAAAATGAAAAAGAAAAATATGTCAATAAAATTAAATTGTGTCAATTGCACAACATGATATATATGATAATTGCTATTTCATATAAATATATTCTGTCCTGGAAACTCAGTCAAACAGAAAATGTTTTGAAGGCCAGCAAGCATAATTAAACTTCTGTGGACATGTGACAAAGTAAAATCAAAAATAATCTTGGCACAATCTACCTTGACAGTGTCCAGGAATAAATATCAAGTTAAAGTAAGTGACAAAATTATTTCATCCACGTGCGTTGATTACTGACTGAACGTTTTCTCACTGTTAAATTAAAATACACACAGCATGTGTGCTAGTTGGGTTGTTACCAAGATGAATTGCTTCATATCAATAAGATCATTCTAAATATGAATTGCTATATATGAAACATCTTTTTAATATTCATTCAATGACAACCATGTAATTTAAAACATGAGGCATACCTTGTAATTATATGCATTAGTTAAAACAAGATGCTGATCGTCACTTCCAGACAGTATCAATTCTCCGCTGTTATTCCAACATATAGAATTCACACAACCATTATGAACCTTCAGGCTCTTCAGTAATGACATACGCTGTATCAGCTGTAGGCTAGCTATAAAACAACAGACAGTTTCTCAAACCTTCACAATATTTTGTCATCTATATATATATAACAGAGTAATTATAAATTTCTGATCTCTCTCTCTAACCAAATGATTAAATGACTATACTTTGGAAGTCTTGTATCGTTAAGTGTACAAGCAGAAGATTTAAAAAGGGCTGACAACAGCCGTTTTCAAATTTTTTAACTAGATTCTTAAACAGTTGTTTAAAAAGAAAGGAAAACAAAGGACATGTATTAAATAATAATATAAATAATCATATTAGAGATTTGTGACTAATTAATCTATTTACATCCTCCGATTAAGCAACATTTTCCAACACAAAGAGACTCGTAATAAGAGTTGGAACAATAACAACGGTAATGTTCCCGACTACATTTAACAACACAAAAACATTAGGCCTGTTCTTTTTCACTGCACTGCTGAACTGATGCAATAAGTTAAAGCGAGACACATATATGTTTTCTCACTTTAACTTATCACACTAGTGCAATAGTGCAGCGAAAAAGAACAGGCCTATTATTCGTAATTTTACGATCGCGCGCTAGTATCTATTGGTAAGTTACCTTTACTGCTGGAATAAAGCTTGAGCCTCGTGTTGTCATCGTATGGCTGATAGTAAATATCACGGAAGATGTTGGATCGCGTATTCTTCATGATGATCTTGGTCAAGCTACCAGCTGACGACAAATCTCAGCAATGTGTAGATCACCCGGCCGATCGAGCGTACCAAAGTCGTTAACGCATGGATAATCGTTTCGAGAAGATTAGTCGCGAACAACAACGGTCAAAGTTCGCGTCCCTTGCACGAATTCGCTCGTTCCAACCTCAGGAACTCGACGACGTGTAGTTACGCAGCAAAAATCCTGATGTCGATACGTAGCCGCGACGTGACATGGCACTAAACTCGTTATGTACTAAAAATAAATGCGACGATGCGAGCGCGGAAAATTGCGTACGTACGCGATGCGATCTCTCGCACAGCAGCCACGACGATTGTCTACGATCGCCACCTTTGCTTTCCGTCGCGCGAAACAGCTGGGAACAGCTGAGCGAGCTTTATACTCGATACACACCACGCACTTGACTCGCGCACACATTCACACGTATATCACGATTAAGAATGGACAATGTTTTTTTGAATCGTGATGTTCGATTTCGTTTTGTTGCATGTTAAATATTATTACAAATTTTTATCATTTATTTAATAATTTCCACACATTCAACGTAAGATCCTAAGGGCTTTTATTTTTCATTAATAAAAAATCAAACAGTTATTCGATCGTGCTATTAAAGAATTAAAGTCCGTGTGACCCGTCTTTGAAGTACGCTAATTAATAGTCATAAAAAGATCTTCAGATTTGCAATTAAAAATAACAAATCTGTTTGCAAGTCCATCTGATGCGTTTTCTTCCAGTCGAGTTACTAAACGTTGAATCAAAAACGTCATTTCGGCTTTTATCTTACTCACAGAATACAAACGAATCAATGTATGACATCTACTAAGAAATAAGTAGAAAGCATAAAGTTTCCTCTTTAAAATACATCTTTCACATTTTAAATACAAATAATTTTTTAATGTAAAAATTTAATTGAAAAATTACAATTTTTCGTTTTACTCGATATATTTAATCAAAATGCAATAGCAATTGAGTTTGTTACACCAAGGACTAAAACCAGGGACTTTAAGCTGTAAAATACTATTAGATAAAACTAATTATCATTATCGTTACCGAAGTTACAGATCGTTGAATTTGCAGTTTTGAAACGCGAAATCAAAGAACGATTGACTAATCGTTGATTCATACTACTTCGATCTTCAGCAAGGAAGATAACGCCACGTAACGGAGATTTTAGGACTAAAGCCGATATTCATATAGCGTGTTCGACTGACCCTGGGTAGAGACCCTCTAAAGCCCGTATCAGACTACGGATTAAGATTGAGATTGAATTGAAAATTGGCCAATCAGAGCAAAGTTCACCAAACTTGAGCTTAGTGAATTTTGCTCTGATTGGCTAATTTTCAATTCAATTTCAATCTTAATCCGTAGTCTGATACGGGCTTAATAAGAGTCTGGCCAATAGAAATCTGATTTTAAGACTGGTTTATGATGGCCGTTAACTTATCCCGGAATCGTAAAAAATTGATAAGCGTTAATCATTAGAATAATAATTACGTACCTACCGACTTTTATCTTTTTATTTCTCTTGAGGACAAAGTATCACCTCACGTCGCCATGAAGCTAATTCGATTACTGCTGAGACAGCTTTTACTAAAATCTGACTAAGCTAGGGAATTTTTTGAAATGGGTCGATTGAGTACCACTGTTCAGTCGGATTTCCAATCCGACAACTTATATGTAAACACCCAGAGTCTGAGCAGCGATCATGTAACTTTTCACCTAGAGCGGTAACGTGAAAAGTGAAAAGTTTCACGTGAACTCGTGATCACGTAACTCGGCGAAACTTGAAAACGTGAAACTTTTCACATGAACTTGTTAGCCATGAAATGTGCTGGCGGAAAAGTGAAAATCTAGTGACATGATGAATGCGGAATATATTATGCTACTGCTGTGATGAGATACATGAAACATAACAATCCTAAGGTTATAGCGATGTTTTTAAGGTTAATATGTTCTACAACCGATGGATATAGCTGATTTGGCCGATATTGAAATCATATAGGAACCATGTTTAGTGACTTGTACTTTTCACGCATAGAGTTACTTGATTGCATGAACAATGAAAAAGTTCACGTGAAATCGATAGAGCGAAAAGTGAAAAGTGAAAAGTTCCGCTCGAAGTTACATGATCTTGTTCTTTTTCGTTGCACTATTGCATTAGTGAGATAAGTTAAAGTGAGAAAACATATATTTGTCTCACTTTAACTTATTGTACCAGTTTAGCAGTGCAACTGAAAAGAACAGACCACTAAGGCAGGTAGTGCAGTGTTCTGTTGTACTGAGTACCGCTGCACTAAGAAAAAGAACAGCGATGATGACGTCATAAAGTCGCCGTAATCATTGAAAAAAACACTTTAAGCCCATTCTACAATTGCGTAAGCGTAGTCGTGAACGTAAGAGTCAACCAATCCGAATGTTTTATTCACTGATTGCTTTACTCTGATTGGTTGTCGTAATCACTTACAACCACTTACATCCACGTTCACGCAATTGTAGATGGGCTTTAGAGTACACTGATTGCACTAGTGCCGCCAGTGCAGAGGAAAAGAACAGATCTAATAATCGCTCTCGGAGCGATTAACCCAGGGCCAGTCGAACACGCTATGAGAGAGAGAGAGAGAGAGAGAGATTCCGTCCATGTATTCTTACCGTTTTCAACCAACATTTATCGATATTTGACCGACACCCGCACGCGTTTTAAGGTTCTTGGTAGTACCACTAGATGGAGTCACAAGCCGTTACCGTTTCAATCTTTATTTTTTCAAGTAGGAACTCAATACAAAAGATTTTATTTTCAAATAACATGTGACTCAACCGCAAGTCAAGAGGTTCTTTATTTTCAAATTATACAACAACAGGTTAGACGAATGTTTATTTTCAAATGAATACACTCGATATTATTTTCCTCACTTTTCAATGTATTTTTATACGAGGCATTTTTACTTTTTACATAAAATAATGAGCATCGTATCGTGATATATATAGCTCTTCTTTTTATATACAAATACTCAATTTAATATATCTCTCTGTCTATTGTTTACTTACATAAAATTAGTTTTATAAGAAAATGATACTCTCAAAAAAGTTAACATACACGAAATAATTAAATTAATCGTATTACGACACGATCGAGTGCATTGACATTCCGGACAAAATGTCCCAGAATTATTTCGAACGTGTTTAGGACATTCTGTATAATCTAAAATTAAACTATTTCTCTGCAAAATTCGTTTCTATTTCAAATCACCATGGAAAATATATTTATATCTACATGCAATATCGAAATGATTGTTGAAATAATTTTTATAAATGCAGACCCTGTTCATAACGCAAATCAATAGCATAATAATCATATAATACAATTGCAATGAAATTTCTATAACTAATAATTAAAGATTACAGAAATATATAAATGCTATGTACAGCTGAGGTATTGGCTCTGATAAAATTTACAGTTGATTAAATGCTACTTCATCTCATATTTGCATATTACAAATGTAATTGGGAAACAATCGTTGATTACATCTATTAACTGTTTCCATTACTAATATGCATTATGGAAAATTTGTACATACAAGACATAGTAGATTTTTTCTGATGAAAGGTAGAATAAGTATCATAGAAATACAATAACTTAATGATACAAAAATATTATTAGATTAACAAAATACATGTTTACAAGTTTTTTTTCATTCTGAGTGATAGAAAAAATTTAATTTAAATAACTTGTTCCTCACCATCTTGTTCACCATCTTGCTCACCAATTGCATTTTGCGTGATACGTGATAAATTTCAATTAATAATAGACACCATACAAGAATCAATCGATTCTCTTGAGAAAAACTTTTTAAAAAATAAATTCCTATATAATCTTCCCATATAATTTCTCGATATATACATCCATTTGTCGCTCACCTTTTCGATACTCGACAATCGTCATACTGAGATAAATGTTGTGCATCATTAATTGTACTTAATTAATCGCATCATTAATCGCATTCAATTTTTAACTAACGAATCTAAGCTACAATTTGTACCCTGTAATTACAAAGGTGTATGCGCTATCGCGAACATCGAGACATCAGAAAAATTCAACTCTCTTCGCCTCCATGCCTATCAATGATCAGTAATTTAGCGCTGCTAAATATAGGATAGAGGATAGAGAAAATAAATGAGTTACGCAAATAATATTTTCTAAAGAGTGATTTCATCGAAATTCGCGCGTGCGATGATATACAATTTGTCGTTACGCTCGCACTCGCGCGAGCTGACTGATTTTGGAAAAACGTAATTCATATAGCAACGATTACTTCTTCAAATTTATATTCAGGACTTTATTGTTAAAAGACTGGCCAATCCTCGCAGTTTTGAGGGAAATCTGCACGATTCACGGCGAAAGTTAGAGCACTTTGACAATCGTTGTTTGTGACAGCGTCCTGCTATAATCTACTAGGCACTTTCTAAACGAGATAATACTTTACTCGCGTAATACGGTGATTGTGGGAACTTGTATACATTCGATACTTCGCTACTTGGATTTATAATTGAAAAAAATTCACCGTTTCGCGGTAAGTACGTTTTTCCAAAACTAGCTACATATCATAGAACACGCTAAAATTGCTACAACAGTAATTGACCCATTCTAAAATGCGAGGCCGAAATTCCTCAGTATCGTCGGATTAATTTTCTAAAGTCAATATCAGACTACCTGTTAGACGGACTTAACCATACGCATGTTCCTCGCCCACTGCGTCCTCGTCCACTATGGATTCGCCCACAGCATCGCACGTTGTATTTCTATTCTAAATCTGATTTTCATTTTCAAAATGTATAATATGAGATTTTAAAGCGAAAAAATCATCGTATATTACTAGTCAGGATTTTAATTTATAATTCTATCAATCATATTAAACTAGTTGTCTCATGAGAAGTTAATTTCTTAGTAACTTGTATTTCAAAACATATGATTATTAAATTATTCAGCTCTTTCTTTCTGATGTGTGATTAAACTTGTCGACAATATTGTTGCGAGGCAGCTATAAAAACAAATGAACTACTATTCTTCATTGTTTCACTTCACTGTAATATAAAGTCACACACACACACACACACACACACACACACACACACACATCTTTTTTACTGCGTGTTTAACATTATTTTTTACCAGTTTGTCGTAGACCACATTTTCTCATGGAAAATATAATTATATTAAAAAATTACAATGATAATTATATGAATTGTAGGCTACGCAAGAGCGGCATGATAGACACCGCATGTACAAAACCAATACGTGTTCGTTCTTTAATAAATATAAAATTACACTTGTGTGAGAAATCACACATCGTTCTTCTCCCTTACACGAATAAATTGTGTCATTAAATTAAAAGAAAATAATCCCTAATTTCCATTTAATCAATCAACAGAAAGAACGGACGTGACGTGATTGATATCGCAGCATTATCTGAAAATAATGACACAACTAAATCGTGCTAAAATAGCGCGATTAAATCTGTTTCGCCTAGTCAAGTGATCTGTTCTTTTCAACTGCACTGTTACATTGATGCAATAAGTTACAGTGAAATAAAATATATTTGTTTCACTCTAACATATTGCACCAGTGTAACAATGTAGCCGAAAAGAACAGACCTAAAATGTGAAAGACATCGATCGATGATCGCATCGTTCGTTTGTGAGGCTTGTAAGTAGATATCACGACACGCTGGTCTCTATGTGAAGCAACGGCGCACTCTCCGAAAGTCTGCAATAACCGGTGCAGTTCTTGTCGTGCAGCGAACAATCCGATCGCCTTATCAGTTTGAAAAGACTAGTGCTTGGGTATTGCGAACTTCTCTTTTGATAGAGTAAAGGTACGCTTTCTGTATACCTGTGATGAACGTTGCACTTGCTGTAATTTTCGCACGTTATGCAATACTTCAATTTGGCTTGCTTGATATCTTGATTGCGCCAAAGCAATTGCGAGTTCTTGGAGAACGTCCTATATTTATCTTGAATTTCTGACACACTTTCTTGTTTAACATCGGTTATGAACATCGACACAAAATCGTTATTTCCCACTTTTTCTGCAAAGGCAACAAATAATAAAGAAAATTTTAAAAGATTATGTGTTGTACATCAAGCACAGATAAGCGCAAACGGCTGAAGCAACATATTTCTAGTCATTATTATACACAAACGCAATTTTCCAAATGAAAATTAATAGTTACATGACGATTTTATTACGTATTTTAGTACTAAACCTTGGAAGAAAAAGACTGATATGCTGAAATTTTTATAACTTAACACTGAAGAAATGGGCATAGATCATTTTTATTTAAGTTTGGACATAAACATCGTAACTACTGCAAGAAACAATTTTATGACTTAATATTATTATTAAAACGTGAACATCATATTCGTCAAACGTGAAAATCATATTCGTTAGCCTTCTTTTTTTCTAACTAAAACCCAAGACTAATTTACATATTGAAACAGAGCGTGGGAGAAGATATAAACTAAAACAGATAGACTTAGTCCGAAAGTATTACTGCTCTACTGCTATTTGCTCTAGCAACTCTAGCTAACACAGCTGCAGTGTTATAACGTAAAACATAGCGAAACAATGAGATTAGATTAGATGATATATAGGTACCTGTTCTACCAACCATTCTGGCAATCCGCTTTACTCGAAGGATTCTCCGGGCAAGGATCGCACATCGTGTTGTCGTCGTCCTCTTTAACACATCTTATCAAGAACATTGTTAATGCTCCTACTATCGGAGGAATGCCGGCTAAGAAGAAAGGTAGATCGTAGGAACCTGTGACAGAATTGCGATATAAAGCATGAGAATAAGAAGACACGCGCGCTGCAAATGGTTAAGTCGTGCTGAAAATTACCAGTGTAGTCGTACAAGAGTCCAGCGATTGGTGGACCCACCGTCAAAGGTATAGAACACATTCCTAAGAGGAATCCGATGGCCTGAGTCGCGCCACTGCGACCGCAAATGTCAAACGCGATAGGACCGAGTAACGATATGAAACATCCGTCGAATAATCCCATGCCAAGGGAAATGATCAGGAGCACGACGAAGGACTTGGTGATCGGAAGAAGCATCGTAAGAATGCCGATACTTATAAATGATATCTGAACAAAAGAAGAGATTTTTTTAGCTCTTCAATATTGTTGTCTGCGCCGAAAACGCAGCCTCTTATTAATTACTATTTATCATAAGCAGAACTGTCCAACTTGAACAGACATTTGATTAATCCAAATAAATTTTCTTATTTGTGCATTGGAATGCAAACTATTTATTAAATAATCACCTGCTGTAACAATATTCTATTCACTTTCGGTAGATCGGCGATATAACCGAAAATCAAGCGACCGATGCCGGAAGTGATACCGATGCACATCACCGGCAGCTTCCCATCGGCATCCTTGAACGTCATAGCCACAAACTTTCCTATATGAACGTACGGGACAAAATATCTGAAACAGCAGCCTACGATCATAATCATGCAATAGGCATATGTATATAGTTCTAAAGAATGCTTAACGAGTACGAGGTCGATTGTCGGTCGTAAGAAATTATTCAAAAATAAAGAAATCTCGCAGACGAAAGTAATTAAATGGCAACTAGTTTTTTATTATATCAATTTATTGAGATTATCTATATGGATTTGTGATCTATGTGACGGATGTTATCTATATAAACGCGAACAGGAGATAAGAAAACACATTTTATGATATCGTAATTGCAAAGATCGCGAAGAACGAGGCAAGAACGTTAATTCGCTTGAAAATCAATGAGAATGAACTGAAATTATTCGGGAATAAAAAAAAGCGACTGACGATGATGCGTAGATAATGAACTAACCCAAAAAGAGCAAGAGGAATAGAACTGGCCCATAGGACGTATCGTTTCCGCTTCCAAATAGACACATTCACAATTTCTTTCATGCAATTTCGTAACTTTGCCTTGGATTTCGGTCTTTCGTCTTCTTGCGGTTTGTTTACTGGAAAGAAGATGTTTCCTCAACATTACATAGCGTCGAATAGCGATTATTGCAATTCTAACTCAATTCTGAGTTCAATTCTCATGAGATAGTTTCTACGCATATATCGTAGCAGGTAAATCAAACTGAACGACGAGATAAAACCGGTTTCAAATAATTCAAATGCCGCGTTTACTCAAATATTTACATAACAATCAAGTTCAAAATCAATCGTTGCCGAAATAATATCATACCTGGTATCGGCTTAAAAAGTACCGCGCAAGCCATGATGAGAGCCGTGAGCACAGCCAAGCTCCTCAGCGTCCCCTCCAGACCAAAACGCCGTAGCAAAAACTCTATCAGGTACGGGATGAGCGTCGTGAATATGGAACTGCCTGCCGTAACGATGCCGTTCACTAGTCCCATATATTTTTTGAAGTAATGACCCAAGATCACCAGGCTTGGGGTATAAGCGAGACTCGCACCGAGACCATACATAACGCCATATGTTAAATAGAGCAGTTCTACCTGAGAAAAATGCTCGAGATGTGATTTACATTCATTACATACACATACGTATAACGTACACTGAGAAAAAATACTTGAGAAATTTTTTCTGGAAGTTCATTTCACAGAAGTAAAAATGAAATTCTACAAGTACATCTTCAAGTATTTTTTTCTTAGTGTATAACGTCTGAAAGCTCCCGTTATCAGATTTTGCCGATTGATGTGGCTCTAGTCGTGAATAATTAGGACGACTTTGTTCTTTGCCCAGTTTATATTACCTTGTCCGTAAGCATCGAGGAAAGAAGCAATCCGCCGGACGCGATCGCACCTCCTACGAAGGTAGTTATTTGGATGCCGAACTTATCTGTGAGTATACCGACGACCGGTGATAGGAAGAATGTAGTTCCGATAGTCAGCGAACCCACCAAGGCTAAAATAATTTTACAATTTCAACAACTTGGCGCGATGGATAAAATATTAAAATATGACGAAAGATTTAAGATAATTTCGGGACAATTAATTGTGACCCGAATTGGAAGCAGCTAATCGATTATCAAAATTTATTAGGCGACATCATTATTCTATCAAGAATAATTACAGCAACAATGCTGAAGACAGCAAATGTGTACATGTCAATTATAGACAAACAAACAATTACGTCAATTAATGATCGCGGCGACTAATCAGTCGCGTATGTTGTCGAATAACAGCGTGTATCTAGGTCGACAATTTATGACTTGCATTTCTTCTCACGAGAATAGCAAACATTTTGAAGCCATTTACTTGGAAACAGTCCGAACTTCTCACCCTCTACATCCGTGTATGAACGCTTGTAAAAGAAAAAAAAGAAATGCGTGTGCCTTATTTTTATAATTCGACTACAACATATCTAAAGCTCATTAAAATTGGAGGAGGGCACTATTGTGGGTTTCTTTGTTATAATTGGGCGAGCGGTATCAGCAAGTAGCGCAAATTAACCTTTATCACTGTAAACGACTGTCTAATTGTCGACCAATTTAAATACTTAGTATTTAAAGGCGCCGCTCATGTAAACAATTTATTTGTTTATTTAAACTAAAATTTTTTTATTCCAATAGAATAAACGATTACTTTCGTGAAAGACTAAGGTTTTAGAAGAACATATATATTTTTTACTTGAAAAAAATATTTTATTTAGTGCAGTATGAATAAAAATATATGGTATTAGTACTCATCGAGTAAATATTTTTTTTTCTTAATAACATAGACGAGATACGTTTAAAATGTATTGCTAAAGAAATATAAATTCGTCGTAGTAATTAATTTAATCAATATCTAATCTATATCTTGTCGAAATTTGACATGTGCGCTTATCTAATTCGAGTATATCTCGTATGCGGGCATATCTTGATCTATACTTAACAAGAAAGTTCACTAATGTTTTTTTTCATTTCATTATGATAGTAGTTTATGTTGAAAGTACGAACGAACCAACGTTTCGACCGATCTAATGCAAACATTTTGCCGAACGGAGAGAGAATGCGAACGCATAATCTGTAACAAAAGACGTCACAGCGAGCTAGATATTGTTATCGAAATAGAAAGGCGATTCTTTTGGAAATATTCAGATAATAAAGTTCACCGAACTATTGACCTGTTCTTTGTAGCTGAACTGGCTGCACTAGCTTGCACTAATTCCTTTTCTCTCTCTTTTACATCACATCATAGCTATATATATCTGTTTCTTTTTAAATTCCGAAAGTGTGCACTAGTTCAGTTACAAAGAACAGACATGTATGTTCGCATACAAAATGTGCTCAAGATTCTCTCAAATATCCGTGCTGTCGAAAACTTTCGGTACGATATAATTATGAGACATAATAATCGTTAAATATCCACTGATAGAATATGAACATTATCAATCGTCGCGTGCGCATTATTATTGTGAATGTGATCTGAATTAATACACATTATTTCAATCATGATCGTAATTTTAATGATGAATTATTGGGTAAAAAGATAATATTTTGTTTTACTTAATAAAATATGTGCGGATCGATCATTTACGAGATTACAGGTGACTAGAGGAAGAAAGACAAATTAAGCCTTAGGCAAAATCACATTCTCAAACAGAGTTTGTTTTGGTGGAGTTTTAACTTTACAATGTAAAAAATCACAAAAATTATAACAATGAATTTACGTGGACCACGTGAAGTGATCGACAACGTATTGATTAGATAGCGTTGTTACTATTTACTGATATCACGCGAATTGTGTAATGTTTATTTATACATACATTAAAGTTGATTAAAGTTGATTTTAATTTCGAATATTAGATAAAATGTAATACTACAAAGTAATTGTGACACAATTATATAATTACTTTGTTAGGTTGTTGTAATGACAAAAATAGTCGCTTCACTTTTACGGTTAGTACAAAAAAAGTTAAAATCAGTTGTTATTAAAAAATAGTTTACGTCTTTACGATATTAAAGCTATTGTGACCAATTAAATGTTACGCACAAAAACGTGAAAACAACAGATGGCTTTGATAATTTATGTTTTTTTTAGGTCATGTCAATAGACGTAATTGACATCTTTAAATAATCTTTTCAAGTATCAGTGTCATGATAATTAATTCATGCACGATAATAAAATTATTACGGTAACCTGTGACTTAACTAAAAGATGGGTATAACAAGTTCTCACTTATAAGCTCTATAAATAGTACACTGAGAAAAAAATAGTCTAACTAAAATTATAATTATTTCTGGCTTCAACCAAATATTTTGTTTGTTTCACGAAAATGGTAGAAACAACATGTATATAAGGTTGTTATCACTAGCATACTAAAATTTAAAAAAATGGTTCTTTTGGATATAAATTATAATGATTATTTATCTACATGATTATAGTTATAAATATTGAACATTTTTTTTCTCAATATATCGATTATCAATGCGTAAAGATAAACTGTTGCCAACCAGCGCCAATAGATAAAAATATATACAAAAAATATATGCATATTAATGGAAGGTAAATCGAAAAAACAGAAATAACTACTTTAGCAAGCCTATTATCACCAATAATCAAAGATAACAATTTGTTTCTCTTATGCTCACGAACACGCATTCATCGATTATATAAACAAGAAATTATATCGGACAGACACATGAAATATACAGGGTGTCCCACACTATCCTTCGCAATTTTTGTGGCAACGTAGAACGGATTGAGGTGAACATAAAAGTTTCCCATACTGTTTTGCAATATTCGCAATAAATTTTAATTAAAAATATTAATTAAATAAATAAATTGATAAATGATTACGCACGATACAGTAGACGAGTTGTAGCGGCGTCGTCTGTCGTTGTATACTTATACATTAGATCAAACTGAACAAAAAAATCCTTTGCCATTTTGCAAATGACTACATAGATGTTTAGATAATAATTAAAGATTTGTGTATTATCTTGCATAACCATGTAACAATTTTCTTTCATTAATAACTAAAAATCTACATAATTATTTACAAAATAATAAAAGGCTTTTTCGTTTAGTTTGACCTAATGTACAAACCCACAACAGCATACTATAGCTTATCTGCCATATCGCGCATGATCATTCACTAATCTTCTTTAATTAATATTTCGACTATTATTGCGAATATCGCAAAACGGTATAGAATTTTTGTGTTCATCTCAATCCGTTTTACGATCCTACAAAAATTGCAGAGAACAGTCTGAGACACCTTTATATATATGTGTGTGTACGTATAAATGTATCGTCAATAAATATCTATTGACGGAATTGGAAATCTCAGAACGGAAGAGATCAAATAGATCATTACGATAAAGAACATTGTCGTCTTTGTACAAAGTGTATCTGGAAAATGAACAATTTCAGGAGCTCGCGCTTTATCGTCAGATATGTCAACTATATAAACACTTTAACACTGTCTAAATCTATAACTGATCTACAATCTTGAGATTATAAATCTCCAGATTTATGCGACGTATTTCAGCCAGATAATCTCTCTAAAGAGCCACTTATCGGAATCTCTTCCAATATTCAGAAATAATTTACCAATATACAATAAAAATGTTAAACAAGAAACTATTCTTTTAATAAAACAAAATTAAATAAAATAATAAGTGCAACGTTATCATTTTAATCCTAGTTTACTCTTTTCCTACTTAACGATTGTGACACCTTTAGTTGAAATTTCCAACACTCGCAATTAAAAAACACGACTCCAAGACTCGCAATTAAAAAAAACGATATTATCAACTAGTCCAAAGGACAGAAATGAGAAAATTTTTCCTTTTCGCCTTTTTCCTTGTTTCCAATAAGGAGCATTTTACAATCCAACACAGCTCTGCTGCTCGTGATGAGTGAAGCTCATCCCCCGTTTCCTCTTATAACGATTCAGTGATAAGTATAGCATTGCAGTCAGAAAAAACTCGCTGAAAGCGAGCTGAAACCGTTAATTCCATCGTCACAAGCACAGAAAGTTATATTTGATTGAATGTAACGAATGTGTGTATTACAGATTTTGTAGTAAAATCTTACTTTCACTGATGAAAATTAGAAATAAGACAAAGTACTAAAGTGAGAGTGTCTCCACAGGAAGTGGATATTCACTGATCACCGGCGAAATAATCCTTTTGGAAAATAATTCACTTTAAGAAAGTATGCATGGGGTCGAGCGAAAAAAAGGATTATCCCGAATCGATATGCAAATTGAAGCTACTCGTGGAGGATTCCGCGAATCAGGCGATCAAAGTCGTCCGAACCTTCCGCGGAGACGGAGCTCTCACCTGCTTTAGAAGACACCTCACTCTCGCCAGCCTCCGTCAGTCGCCTCTGCAGCTCCATATAGATGAGAGAGTAGGTATTGATGATGCTGAAGAGCATGCCGTTGATCGCGAAGCTGCCGACCATGATCATCCAAGCCCTCAGTCCGCCGTCCGGCGGTCCCGCAGTCGTCGTCCTGCTGGTCGACGTGGTGAGCTCGTTTGCACCCTCGTCGGGCCCGCTCGGGCATTGGCTCTTGTTGTTGTCCATCGTCCGCACTGTCCGCGCCTCTACTACTTTGTCCGTTCTTCTCGGCTTGCCGATCGACGCATCGATCGTCGCGCTCTGTCCGTCGGTACCGGCCAGCAGGGGGTTGACCTCAGTCTCGCCCAAACCGGAAGTGTCGTCGTCGGCGGCCCGATGAACGTAGCTCGCCGCGACAGCCGGCTCCTCGGAGCTGGTCGACTCGACGCGATCGATCGCGTAAATCATTGTCGCGACATTAGTGCCCGGAACGAAGCCGTCACCGGCGTCCTCCGGCCCGCCGGCCTCGCCGTCGATCGTCATCGTTATCGACGATGATTACCGCCGATTAACTTCGTCGACGTAAGAGATATTTGTGAACTGTGGATAAAAATTGTGGGTAATTTCCTTCGGCCGGACCTTCGAGATCTTTCGTGCAATTTCTTTCTTTGCTCTCTCTCCATTAACTAGTTATAGTTATGCAAAAATGTTATAGTTCCAAAATCCAAAATCCAAAATTATCATTTGAATTTTCATTATCAATATAAGTGGTCCTTCCTACATAATTTTTCTACACAAAAAGAATCATGGGCGTTTGAAATTAATTCAAAACAATTTGTATTTTCTACTAGTTGCACGATCATTTATTAGGTGCGTCTCTTTTATTTTCTTTTTAAAAGGTTAAGTTTGTTAATGAATACTCTTAAAAAGAAGAAAATTGATCACGCTTGACTCTTGGAATGATTGCGAAGAAGCTCATTTATACTTTTTAAATCATGCATCAAATTTTCATCTTTTCGCAAAACGTACATCATATAAACTGGATCATTGTTGTATAACAGTTCTCGCGGGATTTATTTCAATCTCTTCATCATTGAAGTTACATCAGAGTTGACAAATTAATCTTTTCTATCAGTTGATTCCGCAATGCATTTACGATCGATCGTCTCCTTTGGAACATGTTCTCGAGCGAAGTTATCTTATCACAGTAGCTTACGTGAACTATTTTCGTAAGCGATTAAAAACCTGTTAAACATATTTATTCTATTTGTGCGTGCGAAATGAGATGAGATCGATCGGAGGTCGCGTCAGAAGCACGAGCTTCTGTACGTTCACGCGGCGCACGCGAGGGACGCTATTGCCACACAAAAGTCGGTGATGCGCGAGCTTGATGAGTACTTGACGACGCGGCTTCAAAGACTTATACAGCTTAACGATTTGACTGTGACTGCACCTGACCGATTTCACACATCGGTGCAAGATAGACTGCGTGTAGCAATGAACAAATCGATGGATCTCCAGAAATTTCAATCACGTATTCTGATAGCTTCTGAAGATCAGATACATGGAAAGAATTTTATAGTAAAATAATTTTTACTGTAAAGTTTTTTCCGTGTATGTTTCAGAACGTCGATCTATTGCTCTCAATTACAAAATTCTACAATAATATTTATCTATTATTGCAATTCTAAACAAAATCATAAGCTCGTAACGTGTTCTCGTAAGACTCGTAAGAACTTATGAGTAGACGATTGATACGTAAGCTACGACTTTACGATTTTACGATTTATTCGTATGTTTGCTTAGAATTGCAGCATATATTTGACATAGACACGCACGAGGGATAAATTACTATAAGGGATAAAAGCAATATAATACACTTCGCTAAAAGCATAATAAATATTTTTTAATGACACATTTCAATTCCTAAAATGTAAATAGCGCATATGACGAGTAAGAATAATAAATTATTGCAGAATACTGATCTGTTCCTCAGTTACAAAATTCTATAGTTTAGTAATTTATCCCTCGTGCGTATCTATATAAAAAAAAAAAATATATATATATATATATATATATGGTGTTCTACACTTTTCTTCTCACATTAAGTGGAAATGTAGAATGGATTAAGGTGAACATAAAAGTCCTATATCGTTTTACGATATTCGCAATAATAGTCGAGATATTAATTAAAAAAGATTGGTGAATGATCACGCGCGATATCTAAAAATCTATGTGGTCATTTACAAAATAGTAAAGGACTTTTTTGTTCAGTTTAACTTCATGTATAAGTATACAAAGGTAGACGGCGCCACTGCAGTTCATCTACCATATAGACAGTTTACTTTCCTGTACTACTAGAAATATAATAAAAAGGATCTATATGAAAAAGGAAAACAACTATAATATCCTTCTCGTGCAGAAACATACTAAAATTAAAAAGAATTTATATAAGAATTTATATAATTTATATAAGAATTTATATAATTTATATAAGAATTTATATAATTTATATAAAAAGAATTATATAGTATTCTTTCCGCGTATGATTATCTGCTTATAAAAGTAAAAGCGCGAAATAAAGCAATAAATGATACATTTTCACTTTTTCAAAAATGATTCTCTCAAAAAAGAAGGTTACATAAACAGAATATATTTAACATTATTTATTTATCTTCCGTTAATTTTTCCATGAAAAATATCCCTTACCTAACACATCTCATAGAACATCCGATATATAATTATTTAATTTTGTATTTTGACATATTATTGCTTGGCATTTTGTTGCGTAATCCTACAGAGTAGGATGTTCAACAAAGCACATTATCTGTCACGTCAACCGTAGACTGTACCAGCTTACCCTTAAAACCGGATTTCAACACATTCTTTGCTGACGACGGTACGATATTGGCTCATATTACAAAACTCCTCAGCATACAATATTCAATATATCACACACATTCAACACAATCTTTATGACTTCCGAAAATAGCAGCTCATGTTTCATCCACACAACACGCACGTCTTAAAGACGTCTTAAGCAGGATCTACAATGAAAACTTAAGCCATAAAACTTAAACTTTAAGCTTGAAATCATAAGAAATTGATCAATCACAGTTAAATATAAGGAAAATAACCGACAGTGATTGGTCAATTTCTTACGGTTTCTTAGGCTTTAAGGCTTAAGTTTTATGGCTTAAGTTCTCATTATAGACTCCGCTTTATTCAACCATCTTTATGATGTCTATTAAATGATATTTTTAAGATTATATATAATTGTCTACATTACCGACTATGAGATTTATACACGTTGTTATGGCAAATAATGACTTCTTGCGTATCGTGTACGTAAAATATGTCAAAATCTTAGAGAAGTTATTAAACTGTGTTTAAACTGTTTTATAATTTAGTCAGTTTGCTTTTAAATTGCAATGCCAATTAAACATTTTCTTTCTTCCATATAGGTAGTCTTGGAAATAATATACAATGGATTTGCTCATCCATTCTGCTCAGAGTTAGGATTAGAATCAATAACAACTAGCCAATGTTGATAGTATTCGACATCGTATTTAAATTTTAAATCATGTATTATCACAAATATTACTATTAGGCAGCATATGTTTTTAAATTTAAAGTATAATTTAAAGTATGATGTGCGAATATTATCATTACCCGTTAGTTGTCATCAATATCTAATCCTGAGCAGGATAGATGAGCGAATGCACAATCTAATCATAATTCTCAACTGACTGCAGCAAATAAACGAAAGTAAATAAAATTTCTCCTTTTTAATGTGTATATAATTATAAAAGTCTAAAATAACATATATATATATATTTTTTTTTTATAACTTTTTAAGACGTCAGAAAAATTTTAAGACATCTTTATGATGTCTTTAAAACGTCTTAATGTTATGTGTCATTTTCACCTTTGCAAAATATTTTGTACACTATCTGCATGCGTATTTTCTGCGATACACGCTACTTGCTTACGTGTTTTAATCTTGACGTTACTTGACACCGAGATCAAACCTTTAAGAATCCTAGACGACTTGATAATCCTTTGATATCGTACCTCGATCCTCGCATACCCGTATTTTTCTCTTTACTTCTTCGTGCGAAAAACTAAATTTCAAACGCGAAAAAATCGTTACATGAGGGATTTTTTTTCTCTTTATGGAATTCGCCACATATGCAAATACACATCAAAATGTAATAGAAAACACGAAATAAGGGTGACAATGAATGAAGCATAGTCTAAGAAGCTTTCTAAGTAGATTCAAGTTGAATTTCTGCATTATTTGACTCAAATTTCAATAATATAAACATACACTCTAAAAAGTAATATTTCATGTATTTTGAAATTATGTGATTAAAAAAATATATAAATTAATATAACGGGGGAAAGGAAATGATTATTTTCACAGACCGATCAATTTCGAAGAAGAAGAAAAGACGCGTGTTTTCAACAAAAAACAGAGACATTGAATTTCTCACATTGTTCTTTCATTTTATCGTTATTTCTTTTATGCTACAAGTATGTAATCTAATTTATTTCGCTTTCGCGAGCACGTATACAGAGCCGATTGTATCTTAAATTCGCATAAATAAGAAATACATCCGGTTACATCAGGTTTGTTTCATTTTTTTTTTAATAAACAAAAGGAAAATATATCTGGTCTCCTTGTGAACGCGAGCACACTATACCACCGTATGTCGCTGGGAAAATAAACGTGATTTCAATTGCGCACAATTATCACGCGAAATTATAAAAATAGCCAACGAGATTAAAAAGTGTATAAAGTATGTTGCTTTCAAAACAAAGTATTTGCACTCTTATCGACACTCGGTGTTGAAAAATTAATAAGCGGCCGATACGTACCGTTCAATACGTCATATTATTTGGTCATCTGAGTCATTCACACACGGTATTTTATGTATTATCGATTCATTACGCTTTTTTTTACGCATCAGTCAATATGTACCGTGAATTACAATTTTAAATGCGTATTCTTGTGTATTCAAGTGTGCACGTACGTTCACAAAGAAAGTTTTTCATATAAAATCGAAGTGACGTTTATTCACACTATTTACTTAAATATTTTTTCCACTTACTTGAATGGTTCGTTCACTCGATATAAATAAAAGCGCAGTCGCGTGCGAAATCGAATATTCTATTCCGATTCGTCTTGCGAGAGCTGACTGAGACAACAGGAATTCTCGTATCGAGAACACTGTTGCATCAGCTCGTGTGGAAGACGAACGCACGCAGCCGCATGATCGTCGAGTAAGCGCCGGCATATATTAAGACATTCATGCACGGCCATACCTGAAGATTTTTTTGACCTTGTGTCCAGATGAAACGACAAATTGATTATCAGAATATGTTCTGACATATGGCGGGTGACTGCCCAGATAATATGCATGTCTAAAAGATGTCGAAAAGATATCTAAAAGACATCTTATGCAACATTTTGTTGCATCTTTTATACATGCATGTTATCTGGGTGCCACCATGCCCTCGGTGCAATGCCGCCACGTGTTCATATTTTGTTGTAATCAATTTTTTGTGATCCATATCTGTGTCTGTAAACTTTGCCTTGAAATCGTGGATTATCGTGGAGAAAATTCAAGATTTTGGAGGGAGTGTTCTCTTTTATAAATGCTCCATTGCAAATTTTTGCGATTTTTCACAATTCATCCTTTTGTTGCGTCCGCAATAGGCAAACTCTGTCTGTGTATGTGAAAATAATGAGTATAAAGTAAAAGTATCAATGCCCGGACATATATCTAATTCTGGGCACTCTTTTCGTTTTGGTCTTTAGACACAAATATTTACATAAAATATATGTACAAGTATTGAGTATGTAAATATATTCTATGTTGAAATTTTAAATATCCGTATTTAAAGACCAAAACAATAAGAAAGTCCAAAATTAAGTGCGTGTTCGGCTACCTTTACCTTAATTCTTGAATGAAATAATAAAAACGAAATTCCCCTATATCCTATTCTTAAAACCAATTCATAAAGATTTTGAAATATTTATAATAGTCAAATAAATTTACATGAATATAAAAGCTTAAATTCATAAAATGTTATCGCTTTCAATGATTTTGTGATAGCTAAAAATTTCATTATTTTACACGGTAAAAAGTATTTTATATTTGTGTTGAAAAATCGATTCGTGTAGATATTTTCATGTTAAATTAACGCAAAGATTAAAATGAATAAATTAAGATATGCAAAGTTTGTCAAATTTAACACAAAATTCTTTACAATGTATGTTAATCTTGCAATAGAAAATCTCATCATATCCTAAAAATATCGACGCGCAAAATAACGAGTATGGCTTTTCTTTCGTGATACTTTCGCAATCTATGAATTCTATCTTACAATGCGACCACCCCGTATTAACTGATTAAATTTGATGATTCATCGTCGAGAAGTACAACGCGCTCAATATACACGCAGTGGCTACAGCCATTGAAATTCGGTTTCAAGCCGTCCGTCGAACCGATTTTCGAATGCCGAAGGGCGAAATCGAGAAAATTCTGCCTTTTGTCACGCTACGTCTTCCTCTTTTTTAATGTAATTTCAATGTAGAAATTGAGACAAACCGCAGAACCACAGATTTGTCCAATCATCCTGGGCGGAGCGCAAAGTCGCTCAGCCCAGTATCGCATTTAGAAATTCGGAGCACCTGCCCTGGTATAATTAACATGGGGTCCCCTCGTGGCCAGTTTTGTGCGAATCTTATGTTTTCCTTTTGCAAAACATTTCGTATTTGTGTTGAAATCGATTTATGTAGAAATGTTTGTGTTAAATTTGTAAAATATCCGTGTCATTAAATATATTATTTTGACTAGTCTGTGTGTGAGTTCATATTCGCCATTTTTAAATGTTAAAATAACATAATTAATACACAACATATACATTTTTATGTTATTTTATATTATATCATATAAAGTGTACATATATGCAGATGAATCGCGTTATTTGTTAACATATTTGCCTCGTGTTAAATTGCCGCAAAAATCAGAACAGACAGAACGTGTAAAATATGCTGAATTTAGCAGTATATATGTAATTTTCAAAACATTTTTAACGCGCGATGTCTCAATACTATTACAAACTTCACGCGAAAGAAAATGCATAACTTCAAACTAGTTCAAATATCATCGAGAGTGATTAAATTAATCCAATTTATTATGAATGTGGCGATCTGAATCAATCAGCTTGAATTTGATCGCTTATTGAAGAAATGTTACTTCGCTCAACGAGAGCACAAGCTATCGTAACAAAGAGACCCAGTGTAAAAACGCGGCTAGAGCGTTTAAACGGCGGACCACCGACTGAGAGCCGAGCAATGTCTGCGTGCGGCGCGCGGCCAAATTAGCACGTGGCGAAACGTGTGCGTGCTGTTCGGACGCGTATTAGACATATAAAACACCCGGGAATTTGATATGCACCTGAGAGATTACCAGTTTGGACGATTCTCTGCGAGCGTGGCGGCGTGTAATTCGTCATATGCCTCGACGAATATCGCGGAGTTCTCCAAAAAATGCCGACTTCAGAATGCGGCAGTAAAGATTCCAGAAGGCTACGATGACGACGACGGCAGTGTCAGGGAGGGGAGGCAGCGTAAAAGAGAGTGAATCGAAGAAAGGCGAAAGAAGAAGAGGTAAAAGAACTGATCACCTCTCCAAAATCAACGGACCGACCGATCGCGTAGTCGGACGTAAACTAAAGAGAAGACCGATGTTCTCGCAGGGCGAGAGCTTGAAAGTTGTGGCGAATCAAGAGAGAACGCGCTAATGCACGAACTTGATACTGAACAAAGTGAGGAGAAGAGAGTGCGACCAAAAAATAGACAACGAGAATGCAGGGAGGGAGCAAAAGAAGAGGAAGAGAAGGAGAAATAGGAGGAGACACGATAGCGATAGGCCGGCGTCCAACAGACGGCTGCGATACATGCCGCCACACGCGAATTCGAGAGAAAAGAGAAAGAAAAGGAAGAAGAAAAGGAGAAAAGACATCGCCGACGCATTTACACGCGCGTCACGCACGCACGCACACATACGCGCAACACGCATTCGGATCGTGTGACGCACCAATAGTATTTCTACGCGCTCTCAACCCGGATCCGAAGATGTAACACGAGCTAAGAAGAAAAAGATTACAGAAAAAAAGTGTTTGTTTCTTAGAAACTACAACCTTCTCCAATTCATTCGCTTCGCGATTTCAGCAATCGATCGCCGATTTATATTAGGTCGGCGATATTATCGCGATTGCGAAAAATGCGTATAAATATATTCAAAGAAGTAAGTGCTGTCTGTATACGCACATCAATCCGATACGATAAAAGCGGCAAATAGTGCGTCACGAGGAATATGTTTCTTTATGGATTCACTTGTCGCATATGCAACATTTATCCACACTCAATTTGTACGCACGTATCTGCAAGAACATAGTTACCGATATGCACGAATTGAATTTAAAAATGTTTGATAGTTTTTTTTTTCTATAGTTGGCATTGTTTGTGCCAATTAAATAAAAAATCGTGTCGATTTTTCATTTGTGATATCAGGATAATAAAAACTAAACTAATGTCCTACATAAAGTGTTCTGACAACGCATCTCTGGATGTATTTAGGACGCATTCAGGATGCTATGATGTTTCTATGATGTTTTGCATTGTCTGGAAAATCAGTATAGTAATGATCAGTATATAACAATATGATGTCAATCCTCTCCTCTCTCTCCTCTCTGGTAGAGAGTTTACTGATAAATTAAACGACTATTTAATACAACAGAACGATTGTTGAATTCAACGAGAGACTTGATTTGCGTATATTATTGGATAAATCTTCCCACACAACACAATGTCTAAAATCGGGACTTAAAACATCTGGAAATCATCTCTAAGACTTTGAAACACAATATTTGGCTAATGATACTATGATAAAAGCATATCGGAATTTTTAAATTTCGATACTGGGAGTAATTAACACAAGCTTATTCAACTGACGCAATCTGTTTCGTGACATGATTAAATAAATATGCATATACGTTCCTGAACGTATGTATATTCGCATAAATATCGAAGTTCAATTGTGATGTCATCCGTAATACTGAATAAAAATGTAATTCGCAAAATCGAACATCTTGACTGATTTCGTGCATGCATCTTAATGCAACCTAACCGATCGATTGACCGACTTCAAGAGGCAACCATATAAGATTGACACATGAATTATGTGATGATTATGCGGTAAATTATTACGTACCACGGGAGACGTATACGCTTAATATCCACCATGTTAAAATTGACTTGCAATTATTTCACTGTACCATGCAGAGCTCCGGTTAACCTCGCTTTAACCAACAACTCGTGACGTATTTTATCGACGCAGAGCTCGAGGAGGTGATAACATAATCGGCCAAGTGACATGCGCCGGCTCTACGCAAGATATCCTCGTCGTGCACGTGCATTCCCGCGCATTTTGTTCCAACGTTTAAACGTTGTAGAACGCTTCGATGATGGTTGCGGGTCTGTTCGAAGAACTTTGAATCAGTGCGATAAGTTGGAGTGAAAGAAAGTATACTCCTATTTCACTCCAACTTACTGCACTAGTGCAGAAGTTGTTCGAAAACGAACAGATCTTATGTAACGTCCCGCAAAAACGATATAAATGCGACAGATGCGAAACTCGATGAATGCAATGACGAACGATTAGTCTGCGTCCTTAGGTTTTCTCATTTCTCTCACACGCTGGATGTAAAATAAATAAATAAAAAATAATGTAACAAAGCGCGTCGAAAGATAAAATACTATGAAAAAGAACAAGAAATATACTCGTTTTAAGTGTAGGAAGTAACTCACTGGGTCTGTTTTCTATTGCTGAACTGGCTACACTAGTTCTCTATCTTTCTTCCATCAAATTTTATCTATATGTCTCTTTTTAACTATCGAAAGTGTGTGTACACTAGTTCAGTAATAGAAAATAAATCCACTGTTATCTGTACAAATGTAATAACAGCTAACAGTCGCAAAAATACAATGAATACAGTTTATTAATCATTTGAAACTAAAAACTTGATAATCTTCAATATTAATAAAGATAATAATACAGTAAATAAACACAAATCAAAGGATCGTTTCTTGACACATTGAAATCATAACATTTTCATTTTGATCATAGTAAGCAAATAATTTGACATATAATATTCGTTTGGTAACAAAGAGAAAACTTAAAACTTTCTTTTTAAAATACAAGTGTTATATTTTTAATAAACTTTCGATATAAAAATTCAACTATAAGGTGAAATTGAATCTTGAACGATCGTCAACTTAATATACCTCTAACCGAAAAACAACAAAATAATAACTTGTTTTACCTGAAAATTAAAGATTTTAAAATGTTTTTGAACTATCTCTTACTTTTATCAAAGGTGCAGCTCATTAAAGTTCGAATTAAAACTTGAGAATAGAAAAGCAGCTAACTAATCATTAAATCTTACTTGCACGGGGAAGGTCCATCTGCTTTTTTATTGACAGTTTCATACAAAGCTTTTCCATAAATCCTCATGTCTGAAAGCCATTCTTTCCTTCCTTTAACCCACACAGCATTCCAAATCCCTTGTCCTTCTTGCTGTTCTATTATTCCAGCTAAAATTCCAGCAAGTGGCAGCATTTCTTTAGGTGAATAACCTCTCAAATATCTATCATTTATAATTCTGGCCCAGTTGAATCCATACTGTGGATTGTTCTCATTATGGTAAGTTAATTTAAATTTTTTTATTAAATCCCAACTATCAGCTGTTAAATTTAAATTAGAAAGTTCCAATAACTCAGTCCATTTTACTTTGGTTACATTCAAGGCACGTTCGAGCAACTGGAAAATTCCTAGTCCATTTTGAGCTGTGTGAGTCAACACTGTGACATTCAAAAGTGTAGCAGATGCATCAGATGTATTATTTCTTCTGTTTCTGACATATTCAGATACAAGAAGTGTAAACATTGAGGATGTTGAAGATATACTTTTGGACAAAGCAAGCTCTAGAAGCATTAAGCATTGGTTGCAAGGTGGAACAAAAGGTTTATCTATGGACCATCCAGCAAGGGATGTCAAGTTTGCCCTGTATTGAATATTGAGAAAGGCATTGCATAGTTGATTCTTATTTTTAATGGCTGCACGCCAAAATGTTAAAGCTAAAAAACCTGTTAATTGAATCAATCTGAGTTCTGCATCTGTTGCTTCCCGTGTGGGATCAATTTTGCTGAATATCTCATGGACTTCATGAGCAAAATTTACTGCATGATCTGGAATGTTCTTAGATGTAAAGGGTCCCCTCACCTCTTCTGACATCCCAGAAATCAATTCAACCGATTATGGAAGTGCACCCAAATTAGTTGGGGAGATTTGTTCTTCTGCACTTGTATTTAGTTTGTAGAATGCATCAGTGCCAAATACTTCATCTGGCCAAATTGGCCCTTCAGAAGTCCTTGCTAAAGCGCACGCATCTGCTACTACTGCTACTACTGACTCATCTAGCCCACTATATATTATACCTGTGAAATAAAATCTATAAAATCGACTTATGATCTTCTTTAGATTAGCTCGATTTTTTGTGCTTTTTTGGAATTTAACTCGTTCATGTAGCTGCATTAAAATATCATCACTCCAGTTTATTATCGAGGCTTCTTTGTCAAAATCTGCCTCAAACAGTTTTCTTTTCTTAAAACGTACGTCTATACCCAATGAACTCCCGGATGCCATTATGATAAAGCTAAAAATTTTCGAAATTAAATCACAGAATAATCTGAAATCATTTATAACGTTTTCTTTCACTACGATTTCAATTTTCAACAAGAAAGGTGGCGACTCGTAATGGAGACTTTGGAACTAATAGAACTATGTCTCGTTAAGGTCCATTTCAATGACGTATACACATAGACGGGTGGGACCCGATTGACCACGATACGATTGGACACAGATTGTAATGATTGGTTCGACCTAGTAATTCACTAGATAATTCTTTTCATCGGTTGGTTGTGTCCAATCGTATTGTGGTCAATTGGGACGCTCCCTACATAGACCAAGCATTGGGTGCGTTCAAATTGTCGTAATCGTCGACACAACATTACACATCCGTACTCAGCTTAAGGGCTCGACTAGTCGACTGTATAAACTAGTGTTTTTTAGTGACAATTAAAGTTAATAAGCGTAGCGGCTTAAAAAGAGACTTGCATTTGCGACGTGAAGTGGATAATATCTTTTTTATTATTTAAATTTTATTATTTATTATTAAAAAATATTATTAAATATAAGCACAGTTGAAAAATAATCCTAACCCTACTCGACATACGTACACATTAGTACATACTTTGTTCCAATTGAATCGTGCACAACGTAAAGGCCAAATCACATTAGCGATTGGAGATTGACAATTAAAGATTAGATTTTAACGAATCAACAAGCTTCAACCTTGGCTTGCTTTGTTCCAATTGGTCAAGTTCCAATCTTCAATCGTCAATCATCTATCGCCAATCGCTAGTGTAATTTGGTCTTTACACTTTGTGCATTTCTGTATATGTACATATGTGTCAAGATATATGTTAAGCAATTGGAAAGTACCCAATATGATGTTATTTTTGCTAGTAACTTTAAATTATAGTTTCGAAGTCTTCTCATACAAGTCGCATCATTATTCTCACTTATACATCAAGGTCGTAATATGACAATAATTAGATGAACCTGTGCAAGTAGTACGACTCAACAAGTAGTCAGCTACTCTTTTGTTTTCATATTTTGTAACTCCAACTTCAATAACATATAACTTTAATAAAAATAATAATAATAATGAGAAGGTGCATAAGATATTTTACAGTTTGAGGTCTCTAATTTTCAAATAAAATAAGAATATTATATTGATATCGTTTTTTGCTTAAATATATTAAGTGGAATAAAAAATGACAATCATTTAATTTTCAACATCACCTTTTAGTTGAATTTTTATATCGGAAATTAATTTTATTGAAGATGTAACATATATTTTAAAGACGGAACTTTAAGTTTTCTATTCGTTACTAAACGAATTGTATTGTATACTAATTTGTTTTTCTTCTGTGAATGATGCAAACAAAAAGATCTTTTTCGTTTCTATGTTCAATAATTTGATAAAAAAGAAATTGCACCACAATTTGGAGATATGCAAATTAAAGATCAAGGTTTACCTTTTCAAACAAAATAAACGATTTATTATATAATTTTTTGTATACTCGTTGCAACTCGACAAAGTTGACTAAATATTTTTGCATTTAATGGATCTTAATTTATATTTGTGTAGCACCGTAAGATTTTCACACAAACTTTATATCCGTAAATATATTTAAAAACTAAAAGATTTGTTCAAACTATAAAACGCTTCTCGAACCATCTGCTCATCACTACTTTTGTTCAAAATATAGCTTATTACATTATTATTTTGCCTATTTTTATGGATGAAAAAAATATTTCAATTTTCAAGCATAGTGTATATAAAAAAATATGTAATTCGTAATATGTAATAAGCAAAGATTATAATATTTTGTTGATTATCGTATACTACGATATTATTTCTTGTTCTGCTTTATACTTTTGTATTATACTTAAAAATTTGTTGTGATCGTTGTGTTCTATTCTTTTCCAGTGCAACTATAAGGAACAAGCTTACGATAAGAACATGACAGATTGAAACACTTGTCACAGCAATTATTAGCAAACGCCACGTTGCTCGAGTTTTAATGCGATTACTCAAATCATAGAACGATAAAAAATTCCAAAGATGACCAGTGTAGAATGGGAGGAAGTTAAAAGACTGGCTGCCGATTTCCAAAAGGCACAGCTCACTTCAACTTTACAAAAGTACGTGTTACTTTCACTATATTCTAGGTTAACCTAATTTTATCTTTACAGTATGCAATTCTCAATAAATGTAAAATATAATTGTGTTTGATAATTGGATATATGTAAATAAATTATACTAAATTTACAAATTTTTTTGTCATTTGATTCATATTTTGAATATAACTTTGTATCATACATATGTTTTGCAAAAGTTTTAAAGAAATTTAAACATATGGTATTATAATAACATTATAATAAATAAATTTTTATTATAAATATGACTAAATCAATTTTATATATTTAATTTCGATAATTATATTATCTATTATATCAAGACTTGTTAAATATTGTTGTTGAAATATTTATTTATTTTTAATTGGGCTTTCATGTTATTTCAAATATTTGAGTTAAAAAGCCAAAAAAATTCAATTAATTTTTATCCATCTATATCAAAATAATATTTATCAAATGCACTGGTGTAACAATTAAATTCACATTATAGGCTTTCGGAACGGAACTGTATAGAGATTATAACAACATTGGTAGAGAACAAACTTCTGGATATTATATTTACTAATGATGGCAAAGAATATGTTACTCCACAGCATCTAGGAAAAGAAATCAAAGATGAGCTATACATCCATGGTGGAAAAGTTAGTTTAGTTGATCTGGCCCAAATTCTTAATGTCAGTTTATCACAAATAACAAAAGTAGTAACAGAGATTGAAAAGCACAATAAGGGATTGAAAGTAATATTGGGACAACTCATTGATAAAAGTTATATAAATAAGATCGCAGAAGAAATCAATGATAAGCTTGTGCAGCATGGTTGTATTAATGTGGCTGAGTTGACGCTCACTTACGATTTACCAGCTGAATTTATACAATCGGTTGTCGAGAAGCAACTGGGAAAGATAATACACGCGACTCAAGATTCCCAAGATTCTAAGGTCTTTTATACAGAAAGCTTTATTGCTACAAACAGAGCAAAAATTCGAGGCGCATTGTCTGCCATCACAAAGCCTACACCGTTATCTGCAATATTGGGACAGTGTGCTATTCCAGAAAGGATATTTTTCTGTAAGTATTATATTAAAACAGTAATATGAAAACAGTATTAAAAAAGTTTCTAGTATTGAATATATATTTCCCCTCTTTTATATAATTAAATTATGTTTTATGCATTAGGTAATTATGTTCATTAAAACCTATTACTCTTAGTTATCTTTATAATAGTTCTACTACTCTTAGTTATTTTTATAATCCTATTATTCTTATTTATCTCTTTTAAGACTTCAGACTTATTTCTTATACATATATATATTTTTTTTTTTTTTTTTTTTCCTATATGTATTAATACTTATCACACATATCATATATGTAGCGATTCTAGATGTTTTACAAGAAATAAAACAGGTGCCTGGGGTGGTAACTGGTAAGCAGGGTGGAAATAGCGTTTATATACCTATCATATACTCTAAGAGTCAAAATGATTGGGTCGAAAACTTTTACAAACAAAATGGTTACTTAGGTAAAGTACAAAATTTATTGAAATTCCCAGAATATTAAATTTCTGTAATAATTCGGACTTGTAACTTTCAGAATATGACGCACTCGCTAGACTCGGAATATCAGACCCGTCAGGTTTCACAAAACGCCACTTTCCGAATGAAAATATAGTTTTCTTAAAATCCGTAGCTGTGGGAACAGTAATAACGGATCAAGTCGATGCCAATATCGAAGAAGCCGTTGCGACCGGATCCTTCGTTGATCTTTATCCCCTTTTACCGTCCGTATTTAGCGACGAAGACGCAGAGATGCTTCTTAAACAGGCTACGAAGAAGACCAAAGCTAACGTACATATATTCGTAAAGACGGTTGCGGTCTCTGACGCATTCTTGCAGACTTTAAGTAAATCCCTCGAAGTGGTAGCGGAACAAAAGGTTAGAGAGATCGTAGCTAGCGGAAAGTGGATTCAATATATGGCTGAAAATAAATTGAAGCCCAAATCCATGGATCTGATAACTGAGAATAAAGTAAGTAAAAAGGAGGAACGTAGGAAAAAGGCAGCGGTCGGTAAAGCGGGTGGTGGCAGCCAAGGTAGAGAAACTAAAACAAAGTCCACGAAAAAGAAGTATCTTCAGGGAAAGACGCAGGAGAACGAATCCGACGAAGAAGAGATGAATCAAACAACAGTCGGAAGAGCCGAAATCACGTTGATATCCATGGAGGATGTGAAGACGGAAATTGCGAAAGATGAGAACGTATCCGTGATCGAAGAATTGGCGGATGAACTAGCACACCACTTGCAACCGAAGCTAAATAAGTCGGCGTTGTCGTTGACTGAGCAATTGGCGCAAACCAACAAGACCACCAATTTGAGCGAGGTCGAGGAACGTCTGAATATTCTGGTAATAAATGTTCGAATATTCGATAAGGGCATCAAACAACTAGATAAGGCGGATCAGGCTCCTTTAACGAAATACTTGTTGAAGTCTTTGGGCTTGGATTTCGTGACACATATATTCAAACTAGCGGCTCAACAGAATATGCTACAGATCGCCGAGAATCTTACGACGGAGACGAGACAAAAACTACTGCAGGAATTACCTGCAGACGTGAAGGAGCCGTTAACTTCTGTTCATAAAGCGGTGATGGGAGATACGGTGGAGGATTTTTTGAATACAGTCGACGGTGCGATGGCAGTTTGCTGTTTAGTTCTGAAGAAGTACGATAAGAAGAAGGAGAGGCCGCAGGTGCTCGCTCACAGAGAGGCTCTGTTGGAAGAGCTCAACGCCACACAAGATCCCGCATTAGCGTTGCATCTGGTCACAAGCGTGCTCTTTACCGCTGTCACGCAAAGCGCCCTACACATGTCCGGCAGACATGTGTCATCCATTCTGGCGTTTCTTCGAAAGCACTTGGAGCCTGACACAGTATCGATTCTATCCCGATATCATGGTACGTAAAAACGGTGATTCGAAAGCTAGCACTATCTACAACGAAATATAAACAGATATAAAGAAACGTTTTTTTTCTGCACAGATTTGGTGCTCAATTTACTAAGCGCATCTGATGCAAGTGATAAGATGGATGCCTCAAAGGCCTTGGAAGAAGGATTGGCAGATATTAAAAGTATTGCTAACAATTTTAAGCAACACGTGAAATTGGACAAGTCTTGAGAACGACTACGCAACTAAATTTATAACTGTTATAACTAAATTTATGCAGACTTGAAAAATTTTTATTAATTTTAGAGATAGAGGAGATAAAGGTTCCTTCTGTAAGACATACGTCTTGATTTCTTCAAAATTATACTCTTGACACCAATGTAGTCGAAGTTAGACGGTACTTAGTATTTATTTCAGCTGGAATCAACGTTGTAAAAAGTTCAAAATTTTTCCAAAATCGTAAGATTTTCTTAAGTCCTTGCGTAATGTTACACAATGTTTATAGATAGCCTAAGTCTACTTTATAATAAGCATTTCTTGTAAGTCCTTAACAAATTTGATAATATAAAAAATACAGGATGTATTAACAATATAAAAAACATATTTTCTAATTAAGAATTAATTTATTGATATCGTCATATTTCCTCATCATAATGTTCAATAAATGCATCTGTCTCCTGTTACAAAATCCTCCTAATACGTATTTCTTCAACATCTTTTACATTTTATCATTTTTATAGTCAATCCATTAATAGATAGTGATGTAACTAAATATCTACAATGATAAACTTACCTATGTATGTACAGAGGTTCATATATATATATATATATATATGTATGTATGTATGTATAACTTAGAAGACACTTGATCATCATTCTCATGTATATATACACATAAATATCACAAATGCAGTTCCTAGGTTACAAAGTTGCTAAAATTCGAGTGAATCCAACACACGCTGCTACCACAGTTTGCCCAATACCCCAAAACAATGCGTACAAAGGTGGCATTTGATAACTGGATGCTCTATATACAAAGGCAATTGCTGCTGAGCTGACAACTCCTGATGTCAATGGCAACAGCACACCCATTATTATAATAAGCAGTGGAAAGAATCTATGAATACACAATAAATTGTAAAGTGATTGTATCGTTTGCAAGTAACTATTAGAAACTTAAAACTTACATACTTGCCGTATTTGTGCTGTCTTAAAGTAGCAAAACAAATTGCTCCAGCAATTGTATGTACGAATATCGAAGAAAATAGGGCCCATAAAAATATTTGATACCACATTTCTAGAAAATGATAAAACAATATTGACTTAAATTGATCGATGATTCTTGATTGTACATACATTTACAATGAACTGTTTAATCGTGTAGTACCTGCAAATGATGTTAAGGGCATATAAAATATATTGCCCGAGTTCATATTTCGCAATGCCATTTATGGTCGCAGTAAATTGACATTCGTTTACGTATCCACGTAGACATCGATGGAAAAACGACTTCCTGAATAATCGTCTCGATTTGCGAGACAAATGAATTTTTCGTTAATTTCTCGTCCCCTTTGCAACAGTTTGACAGTTATCGGTGAGGTTACGTCGAAGCATTGTTAAGAAAGTACTCCACAATTATTGGCTAATATTATCGTGACGACACACAAGAGACAGTGATGGCGATAACAATATAAATAGGTATTCATCTTCGATAATATGATTGAAGAAAAACTCAATTGAACGTTTAAAGAATCTAAACGTCAGTTAACGATATAGTTGTCAAATTTGACATCTTTCGTCGCTGCTTGGTTGGTAGCAGTTAACTTATCACGTAAGCACGAAGATTACGTAAGGTTGGCACTCGCGCGTGCCCAAAAAGCTGAATTGAAATTCAAATGTCGCGTTACCGATAATAATCAAGCAATTAAATAAATTCTAATTGCATTGCTCAATTGTTATCAGCTTAGGACTATATTATTATAGCTCTAATTAAATCGACTAGTTTTATGTATTAAATATAAAAAATAATTTTGTACATATGTTTTTTATTGTACTACAATGATCAAAGTAGAAAAAATTGTCTGCAAAGTTTTAATAATTTCCACATTAAGTAAAGTCTATACCTTAAATATTATTTGAATACAATATAGTAAAGCTTTAACGTGGATACACATAACTATTCATATAATATTTATACTTTTGAGTCCAAAATCAATTAACTGATTAATCACCCTAACAGATGTCCAGGGGACATCCAGAGTACATCCTGAGAAAGTCCTGAGGACATTTGTTCGTCCTCAGAACGTCCGTTTTGGGAGACCTTGTGCTGTCTGGGCAGTTAATTGATAAAAAGAAAAAAATTGATCACAACAATGACAGTGACAAAGTAATTATCTTAATGTAATCAAGATATATCTTACTGTGACTTTTGAAAAATTAGAGAATACAAATTAGAGAATGGAAATTAAAGGATGAAACTTTGGAAAAGACATTGAATTGATTGAAGTAAAACTAATGAGCGGAACTTTAATTGTGGAAAATTGTGGCAAAGAATAAAATGTTTTTCTAATTAAAGTTATTAGAGGATTTATAAATAGCGAGAAATCTGGAAAATACTCAGAGACACGTATGTTTCCTCAAGAAACCAATTCACTTTTCTCTTTTTCTTTCTTTAATGTTATATTATCATTTTGTAAATGCACTATATAATATTAAAATATTATCTTATATATACATTAAGCTAGTTTAAGTTGTAAATTATGTTGTATCTCTTATAAGACAATAAGATAAACTTATATAAGACGATGCAATGATTATATATTTATCGAAAGAAAAATTTTAATAATGTTATTATTATTGCTTTTTATATAATTTTGAAAGTTAATTGTAAAAGTCAAGAATAGCCTTACTTAACTTTTTAATTTAACTTTTCTGTATACTAGTATACTTTTATCTTTTAAAATGTAAATTTATATATAAATTTTTTCTGAGCAACATATTTATGTGTACTTAATTATTGGGTTATTAAGTCTTCAACATACAAAAGTATTTATATTTTGCGATTCAAAACTGTGAATGAATTTAATCGATTTAATAAATCTGCATAAATAACAGGTAGAGCTAATATTGAATAAGAATAAAGTTCAATTACGTAAGAAACACTGGCATTATATATCTGCATGATATATATATATATATTTTTTTTTCATATCAATTTTAAGATTGTGCAACAGCTAACATTTCTTCTTGATGAATTAAATGTGTTGTATGATTCACGAGACCCATCAATTTCGACAATGATGCAGCCCATGTGTCCAAAAGAGCAGCTGGTTCTTGTGTGCCAGTAAAACGAACCACCCCAGCTGGACGATCTGTACGTGCGCTAATAACACCAGTCTCCACAAGGTTGCAGAGACATGCTTCAGTTTCTTCAGCAGGAAGGTCTAATAACTCAGCCATGCGAGTTAATGTGATCTTGGTATAATATTTGGCCATAATTCTTATATTCTATAAAAAAAAAAAAAAAAAAAACAGTACATAGCATAATATATTTGCAAAATGTATACTTTTGGAAACATTATACTTTAGACATATTTTTGGTGTTGGTCAAGGACTTACATGTTCTACGACACGATTTCGAAGGTCTGTCCATCGTTTACGCCCTTCTTCAGTTCCAGCAGAAAAAACTTCGGTTGATCTGAGATCTTTTTCATAAATCTCACATAATCCCGACCATTTTATTAACTCAGGATTTACAAACAACCGCAATAACTCCCTGGAAATTACGTTATTTTTACAATATGTTAGATATAAACAAAATCTAACAATATGTTAGATTTTAAACAAAATCAAACATGATTACATTATGAATTTATACAAAGTAAATATAAAACTATTTAATAATGATTATTGTCCATATATATACACATTAAAGATAATGTAAGGGATAACAATTTATATAAATCTGAGAAGTTTTGGTTTGTGTCACAACAAAGTGAAATATCTTTATCCTCCTGTCACTTCAGTGATTATGGGCCAGTTTTATATTTACTTCGTGCTTCAAAATTATTGGAATTATTACTTGTATGTAGGAATCTCATCGAGAAGTTTGTCGGCGAGTAATCTATGGGTTAAATCAGCCTGCTCAGGTTCGTGTGGAGCAAGGACAAGATACAGGACTGCGCGAGAAAGTGCGGTATGCCTCTTCTCGGAGTCGTCTCGAATCGCTGGAGTTTCTAATACTGCTCTATTATGGCGACACAATTCTAAATGCCAACCTTCGTGGCGAGCCAATTCCATCATCAAACTAAACATAAAATAATTCGGACGCTGTGCTTTATTGAAACTCATATAATAAACTTACATGTAAACTACAGTGTATACTTACTCATAATATTTTAACTTTAAAGCCTGAGTTTCATCATCATTTTCATCACTGAAGAATTTGACATTGATTTTCTTTGCTATAATTTGCGTTCTCATAAAATCTTGTTTTGCCAGACAGAGTCTCATTTGTTCCAAGATCAAAGAAACTTTTTCCCGACGTGACATGCTACCATATGTCTCCACCTATGCAATATATTATTTAGAACTATTGTTCTAAATAAACAATTTATATGCATATCTATTATCAAAAAAATCAAGTACCTGTAATTCTAACATTACAGTTGCAGCACCTGCAATGTCTCCTTCTACCTCTTTTATTTTGGCTAAACGATGAGTGAGTCTGGCTCTTTCCACTTCTACATATATCTTATACATTCAATTTTATATTTAGTACACATAAAGTTACACAAACTATATAATTGATGTATATTAATTAGTACAATTAAGAAAATCAAGTTTTTATAGATAGTTTGAGATACATTAGAGGTTAATCAATTATTTGGACAGTACAAACGTGTAATAAGGATATTAAATAATTAGAGGCAACATAGTTTTAAACATAATAAAATGTATTATATGTATTACTTATATTATGTATTATAATATATTACTTGCATTTTTAAAAAAGTTACCAGCATTGTTTATGAGCTTTCAAAGTTTATGTCTTATATGATTATTATTTGATTAAGACATATAAAATACTCAAAACTTTTGAATTGTGCGAATTAGTGTCAATTGAAAATACAGCTTACCTTTCCTTCTGTGACTGAACGAAGAGTTTCTATTAGTTTTACCATAGTCTCTTTATTAGGTGTTTTGTCTACATAAGTACAACATTCTTGAACCATCTTGGTAACAGCCTGTTTAAGCTGAGAACGTCTTTTGGATAATAAGATTATATGTTCATTAAGTGCTGACCAATTTTTTGCTTCTAAACAAATTTCAACTATGGCTACAAGAAGTCTCGATGTTGATGTCATATCAGCACCCTAAAAGAATACAAGAATTATAGTTTATGTCCATATATACAAATATTTCTACTTTCTTGTAATGTGTACTTAACAGTTCTGGTGAGTTTTTCTAAGGCCAGTAATTGATCTAAAGCATCGTGTAACTTTCCTTCAGAAGCGAGTTTCTTGCATTCTGGAATTTTGGTATCACAAGTGCTGCTGTAGTCCACTTCCATCTTCACAAGTCTGCCTGAGTTGTCCATTGCTGTATCTGCCATTTTTGTTATTTGGTTGGTGTCTAATTCTACAAAATAAATATAAATTTAAGCTTAATTTCATAAAGTTTTATAGTCAATATGAAAAATTTAATTCGGAAAAAGAAGCGCTATTTAAATGACTCTCGAAAAACTGGTATCAATTATATACATCAAGTACTCATTTTAAAGAGGTTAGAATAAAATACAGAAAATCCCAAAGTCATTCCATCGATTGTACAAAATTGTCAATTTGATGCCGGTCCATCTCACCTTTGAAATATGTGTAAATAATATAAATTGTACATACAATTGTATGCACCCTTTATATAAAATATATTATTGTTTTACAAAATTCACAATTGACAACGTTGTCCACGCGTTTCAACTCACCGTTTAGCTTTAACCAAAATGAAGTTAAATGCAAACTCTCATTCGTATCGCTTAGTAGATGACGTCATATCAAGTCTGCTCGCATCTGTTCTGTTTTAATTGCACTTTGTACACCTCATTGCTTCTTGTTTCTCCCCAATCAGAAACAACTAAAATGAACAGACCTATGACTGCGTTCAAAAGATATATAGCTTCTGCACAGAGGACGTGGATATGCTGTTGCGCGGCAGGAAGCGACGCAGTAACCAATAAACTTCTAGCTCTTATAGAAAAACGGCACGTTTTATAATATTTAATACGTATCAAGAATGGGAGCGTCCCAATTGACTACGGTACGATTGGACACAACCAACCGATGAAAAGAATTATCTAGTGAATTACTAGGTCGAACCAATCATTACAATCTGTGTCCAATCGTATCATGGTCCCACCTATCAAGAATACAGGGGGTTGATTATGTATCTGAAAATGGAGTAAAAATGACAAAAGTAAGTAAATTTACTAGAATATTATAACTTCATTGATCACTGCTTATGACTCCTGCACACAGGACGCGGTAATGCTTGCCGCGCGGCGAAAGTCCGCGCGACAGCCAATCAATATGTTGTTTTTCCGTAAGAGCTAGAAGGTTATTACGGAAAGCAGCATATTGATTGGCTGTCGCGCGAATTTTCGCCGCGCGTCAAGCATTACTGCGTCCTGTGTGCAGGAGCCATTACAAATATTCTAGTAAATTTACTCACTTTTGTCATTTTCAATCGTATCGTGAAATACGTCACTCCGATTTTAGATACACAGGTTGCTTACGATATCGAGTGTACAGCGAGTGAGAACTGGATCCGAGAGAATAGTACATATTCCCATCTGCAACTAATATATTCTATGGCTACTCTTGCTCTGCTCTGGGGTGCGTTCGAAAACACTGAAAGTCCACGACGGAAAGTGGTGGATGGGCTTGGTGGGGTTATGCCCGATTTCTTCATACCTCCCAACAGCTATCTTCCAGATAAAGATATCCGGTAGATAACTAAAACTTCGTTTTCTTCACTGAAACCTCTGATTACGTATCTAACGCATAGCTATTCTTCATACTACAAACTTTCGGCACAAAATATACTAGAATTTAACTATAAATTACCATATTCTGTCACCGACATGTTCTTCTCCGGGTCAGTCATTTGATACCAATATATTCTTGTAAGTGAGGTTAAGTGAGGTTTACGAAAATAAATATTATATATTTTTGGTGAACTTTTTCAAGAAAGTGGAAAAAACATTTATCCGGCTCAATGGACAAAGAAAAAAGGGGAGCGAATTTTACAAAAACTGAAATTGATTTGTTAATTGACGTTACATTAAAATATAAACATATTGTCGAAAATAAAAAAACCGATGCAACAACATGGAAAGACAAAAATGAAGCTTGGGAGAAAATTTCCAACGAATTTAATGCTGCATCAGGAAATTTTCCTCGCTCCATAAAAACGATTCGTTCCAAATATGACACAATAAAAAAAAGTATTCGCAAAAAATGCTCGTTGCTCAAAAGCGAACAAACAAAAACTGGTGGTGGTCAGTGCGCAGTGACTTTGACTCCAAGTGAGGAGAAAGTATTATCATTAACACCAAACACCATGGTGGGTCTCAAATCCAGATTTGACAATAACTCGGAGTATGTATAATTTATTACTATTATATAATTACACATAAATGAAACATGTGACATTATGAAAATCTAATCTTCTTTCAGAGCATGTACAAGTAATGTAAAACAGTGGATGACACAACAGGATGTAGAAGATGGTTAATAATATCTAATATGTCTAATACATGTTTAAATGTAAGTGTAGTCCGATTTTTTTATAATATTACATTGTGTTTTAGAGTCAGAACTTCGTGTTACGGAAGATCTCATTGAATTCCTTGAAGATGGAGATGATAGTTAGTATTTAAAAGTATGAACACTCTCTATATATATATATATATATATATATATATATATATATATATATAATTTGGAAAACGACATGAATTTTCTTTTATTTACTTTATACAGGTGTTCTCCAGTTTTTGAAAAGAACAGAAAAGGTGGAAGTACCTCAAGCGACATTAATAATTCCAGGTAAAGATTTTGTTTTAATTTCGCATTATTCTTTTTAGCATTAACAAAAGTTAAATATATTGTTTTTGTAGAAAAATCAGAGAATATCGAAAAGACCTCACTGAAAAGAAAGATTGATACTGCACATTTTGTTCACGAGAATAAAGAGAATAAAACACAAAAAGGTATACAATATCACAAAATGTCAAAAGAAATAATTGAAAGGTATAATTAATCGTTGTAGGAACTGATAATAAGTTTATTTTTTAAAAAAAAAGAGCCAAGCAATTTGAAGATTCTCAGATTACGCAAGAGATGTCACGCTTGAAAAACGAAACCTTGATGTTGCAAAAAAATTTATTATTACAAGAAATAGAGGCTAAATCAGAAATCACCAAACTGACAATCGAAAATTTAAAGTTAGATGCACGAATTAAGAGGCTAACATTACAGAAAATTGTGAAGAATGTTGAGGATGATTAGTAAGTATATTTCGGTAATAATTCATATAAAATACAAGTATACAATTTATAATATAATAGATTTGTTCTTATATTTTTATTTACAGTAATTAATATTGGACCTTATGTTGCACCACTTATAGCAACCGTTAGGCGAGTTTTAGTTCCGTAATCTGAAAAATTCATATATAAGTTTCTGCAAAATGCCAAAGAAGTTGTGATATAATATATATTATTATTATATATATATATATAGTTATAAAAATTGTTTTGTATAATATATATAGTTTGACATATAAACATTTCATACTTTCGTTAAATTTGTCATTATATTTACCTTGAGAAATACTCATTGATGAGTACTTGTCTGACATTATTGTCTCCCACTTGAACTTCAACATGATTCTCGTTATTTCCAATTTCCTCGTCAGGCAAATCCACAAGTGCAGGAGGTTCTTCTTCATTGTGATTTCTGGCTATGTTGTGTAGAACTGCTGTAGCTACGATAATATCTTGCACAGTCTCTATTTTCAGTCTCATACCTAAACTTAAAACTGGAAATCGACGCTTCCAAACACCAAAGACTCGTTCAACAATGTTCCTCGTATGTATGTGAGCATTGTTATAAAGATTTTCGGCTGCAGTAGTTGGGTGCAAAAGAGGAGTGAGAAGATATTTCTTGACCGGATATCCGCTATCGCCAAGTAATATTCCCGAATGAAACTCGCCTTCCTCTAATCTTCGGTGCACCCAACTATGTTGAAATATTGTTGCATCATGTACAGAACCCGGCCATCTACTCACAATGTCTATAATTTTCATATTATTATCGCAAATAACTTGGGTATTAAGAGAAAAGAATCCTTTTCGATTTCTAAACTCTTCTGCATGTTCACCTCCTGAAAATATTTGTTATAAGTATCATTGCTTAAAATAAGTCAATACAAATTCTAAATCTTGCAATGTCTATACAATGTTTATGTAATTTTTTTCTGCTGTATGGGATAAGTACTCACACATCACAAAACATCTCAGCAATGTCTCCAAAATATTACATTTGAAATGTTAAATATTCTAGAGATAATGTCAGAGATATTTTAGAAATGTCTGTGCAATGTCTTATGTCACCAACTTATAATATTGTTGAGATATTCTGAAGACATTGCTGAGATGTTTTGTGCTGTGTGGGTGTAGTATTTTCACTTTACATAATTTATATTTGTTGTTATAGTCCATAATTTATATTTCACATAGTTGTAACTTACCAGGAGATTGTATTCTAATATGTGTTCCATCGATGCATCCAATTACCCTTGGGAATTTATACATTTCATAAAATGCCCGTTGCGTTGTACGAATTTCTTCAATAGATTGAGGCATATTAATCATTGCTGCTGATAACGAAGCAATAGCCATGGATACTTTTGCGACAACTCGAGAAGCAGTACTAATGCTTACTCCACTAAAATCACCACAGGCACGCAGAAAATTGCCCGTGGCATAAAATCTCAAAGTTAATAACAATTGGTTAATTGGTGTCAATGACCTTGACCTAAAATTACATAAAAAATTATCAATTACGAACCATTCGTTAAATAATAATATTATTTCATAAATTCACTTTATTATTATAGCTCTATTATTATTTGAACAAAATATATACCTATTCCAGAGTATTAACAATCGCTCTTCAATTGCATGCAGTAATTCTAGTACTGTATCCTTTTTCAAACGAAATCGATCGAAAAATTCTTTGTCATCCCACACTTCAAAATTGTTCGGTTTATTCCTTATTATATATGGTCTTCTTTCCACAAATTCATTATCATCATCATCATCACAGTTAAAAATATTAATATCCACGAGCAATTCCATTACTGTTTTTCATGAAGACAGCAACGATTACATACTCTTTTAATGTTTTAGGTTATGTCAAAGCACTGAAATC